GAACTTGGTGTGTATAGTTAAACTACATCAAAACCTTGACTAAGTTCTATCCTGATTTGGCTACATGTAAGTATAGATAAGCAGTTGGGTAGCTTGATGCCTTACGAAAAGGTAATGTTTAATTAATTAATATGTGTCATCTATTTATTTTGGGAATGACAATGAGGCGGGGAAGATCAGCCTCATTTTTTATATAGGCCTACATGTATATTGCTGACGTTTTATGATTTGTTGTCGTCATATGTGTGACAGCTAACTGACATGGCATAGCCTAAAGACTTTATTTATATTAACCGACTTGTATTTTAAGAAGATATGTCAAAATTGTCACAGTGATGGCCTTAATTATTACTCTTATATACATGTTAGTGTTGATATATTCACTAAAAAATGCACAAAATTTGAAATTTTTACATGTAAAGAATTATTTGCAGTGATCTCAACTGGCATGTATCAGTTTTCGAAAAAACATATCCATGTCATGCATGGCACCCATTACTTGTAAAAGTCTAAAAGTATAGTTGTACTTTTTCAGAATTTGAAATCTAACCGGGTACATGTATGTGCTTGAATTACATTTAAATGTTACTAACAAATTCTTAGAAGGGAAACATTTTTTTGAAATATTGATTGCCTTTCAGGTAAATAGGGCATTAAGTAGTAACTGTATAAAAACTTGTTAGCTGTAGATGGTTTTTTTATAAACAAGGAAGAAAAATCTATAATAAGAGAAGTTGTGAATGTATGTTAAAACAGTAACATTGTTAAAGTCATGTACATCTACATTTAGTGATGAATTGCAAAGTAAGCTTGATTGTATGCGCCCATTCATATAGTTACATATTGTTGTCACTGACGTCTCTTTCTGAACATGTTAAGATATTTTTTTTCTACTAGCATCTGGAAATATTAGTCATAATTTGATTGGTTATGTTCTATCTGCACATACTGGACCGAAGGGGAAGAACTCAGATCTTTCGCATAATTTTCTATGTAGACATCTCAAGTGCTTAGTGTTGAAAAAGAACATGCACAAAACATTAGCCTCATACGACATTTGCTTGAGATTCGTGAAAGTATACAAACTTTATTTTTTCCGACATTAGAATCTTAACACAATGACAGTAAGAATATGGCATGTCAACTGTACGATGTGGGATGCATTTTGCTGATATTGGTATAGGGTGACATTTAAATGCAAACCATCTCACAGAATCATGTGGCAAAGATGAAATTTGGTTTATGAGTAGATCTAATATGTGTAATTTCAGAAAAAGTTTTACCTGATTCAGTGACGAAACTGAAAGGTGGTTAAACCTGGACCAAAATTTGAAAGAATGCCATTCCTATTTATACAAATGGCTGGATTAACACATTCTTGCTTGTGGCCATAAACAACCACCTATAGATAATACATATGTGAGATGGGATATTGGTACAAGGTGACCTCGAAAATCACCCCAAAATGTGTGACTGAACAAATTGGCTATTTTTGATGCATATGACTAGAAAAGAGATGGGATTAGTATGGTAGTAATCTGATACAATTTGCCAGAACTTTAATTAGGATACCCAGTTTCAGCTCTATAGCAGATACCAACCCCGATAATTATAAGCTTCCAAAGTCCGAAAAAATCACATTCACATGTTTTCACAACTCACAAGCAAATTTCCAATCTGATTAAAATACAGATCTATATTTTGTTTCGTTTTTTTTTTATACTTTTGATGGCCTACACTACATGAAGATCTGACCGGTTATAGTGGGAGGTCGTGTCAGAGGTCATACAAGCCGCTTTTGACCCTATGACGTCAGACATTGATTAATCAACCAGCGTTGACGTTACTAGTGGTCTAACCACAGTTCTGTGCATCGCACGCCAAGAACTCGCTGTAACAGACCGTTTCATTGGCTAATCCCTCACATCAACCAGAACACGGCTTATATAACATCTCTTCCAGCTCCCAGTGTTGTGAAGATAAGTAAAAATGAAATTTTGAACTATGATAAACGAAACAAAACAGGATCTGTGTTTTAATCAGATTGGCAAAATTCAGGAGGCCATATCTCAGTAACAACATTTTGTGTAAGGCTAGATTTTCATTTTTCACACTGTGGATTATTATGATGGAGTTTCATCAAAATTTGACCCTTCAATGATTTGATTGCTGTTATTCTTTCATATAGATTTTGAAAGGTGTATTGCTGCTCAATTTTAACTTTTGATGTACATACATGTATGATATTGACCCATTTTTGCTAAAATTGATTGGTTTTATAGATTCAAAGTATTAATAGTTTCCATTTTATGTGTTAATTTCTATTATGTGAATATTATATCTCCAGGGCTGTATAACAGTATAATTGTTTATGGTATAACAGTAATTATTGATATATGAATGTTATGTTTCCAGGGCTATATTATTATCATTATCTATGGTACAATTATTGATGCTTGTTAGTATTTTAATAGTGCAATATCAGACGTTTCAGATTCCTCTGCAGTGTAGTACTATTTCAGATCCCTCTGCAGTGATGACATTTTAAGTGTAACATCATTGCAAAATATAGGTGGTGATTTTACACTATTTTGACAAGTCATGGCTATAGAAAACAACTCAAAGCAGCTCACAGATGTTGTTTTTTCGTTGTCTTGGAGATATCCTGTCATTTAAATGAACATACATGTACACAAATCACGTTGAATGCTCAAGTTATACAGTATATTTTTTTTCCAAACTTATTGTTTCAAGTACAGATATATTAATTCATGATAGATTGTTTCCAAATTTGATTTCAACAGAGTTAAGATTGCCACCTGATTTATTGTTAAAGATGTCATGCGTGCACGTAATCATGTTATGACTGAGTGAAATACGATTGCTGACAGATCTTGTACTATCTATTTCTACATGTAGTTAATATTTTAGTAGTACTATTTATTGCTAAAATACAGACTTACAGTTTATATATTGAAGCTAAAAATATGAATACATAACTTGGATTTGATTTTAATTAGACTGGAAAAAGATCTATGTAACTTGATCAGATGTTCAGTAGATCAGGATATGTTTTATTGTCTTGTATTGTGTCGACCTCTGACAGCATGATAAGAAATATTGTCTAGTTGCTTGTATGGAACAATAACTGAGGTCCTGTGTAACAGCATGTAAAAGCGAACCCCTGGTGGTAGTTGGAATTCGACAGAGAGTACACGTAGGTGGAAACCCTGCTGTCTGGGGAAAATTTCCCTCATAGCACTGCAGAAAAGTAGGATGTTAAACCCTATTTCATTTTATTTGCCATTCATAAAAGACTTACAACCATCTTAACATGGGTTCATAACATATTATATTAATTTAAAGGAACTTTTGGTGAAGGATGAGCACAATATCTTTTATTGCACTTAAAATTTGAAACTGTGGAGTTTCTTTCCAAACTAAAATATTATTGCTGTGGACTTTTGACATTTTCATACTCACCAGTCTCACACTATTTTCCCTACGTAGGACATTTGGGCTTGACAAATCCCCTCTGTATCTTTCAAGACACATTTCTTTTGTTAGATTTCAACAAACCTTCAAATACATTTAGAGTGGACATCAAATACAGATATAGAATTTAGAAATAGGATTTATTTATCCACGACTATACAAGAAGGTCATGATAAACATCTTATCTTATCTTATCTTATCCTGCTTTGGACTAACTTACATGGTGTTATTTTATTTCAATGACTAACTTTTATTAGCAGTATATAAATCTTCATTTTAAAATCCATGTAGTTGACTTCGTTGGTTTTGTTTGGAAAAACAATAAATCTTTGATATACCTAGTCAGTTGACATGTTGTTTAAAAAAAAGCACACATCCACCAATACCTGTCAGAGAGATCAAAAGATAGATTAATATTAATAATGTGTTTATTGTAGTTTAGCTGTACACCTTTTGATATACAAGAAGACATATGCATGGGTTAACATGACACACAGGACAACTAGTAACTCATTGAAGGGATTTTAAAAGAGAGTGGACTGCTACCACATGCATAGTAAAAGGGGGAGGGCGTGTATACAGTGTGTTATGGAAATGGGTGGTTAATAATGGACACGATATAATGACCTGTTAGATAGTAGTACCCCAGTATGGATATTCTGAAATTGTAAGATGATGCTCAAGTTCACAGTGAGCAGTTAATTAATTCCGTCCCAGAATTTGGATTTATTACAAAATTTAGATTTTAGTGTAAGTTTGAATCTAAAAAAGGCAGGAAAAAGGTCCTATTTGACAGATTCATTTCTATATGAATTCGTCTTGATTTATTTGATGATTTATAATGGTTCATAGAGATAGAGATACATAAATGATATAACTTTAAATTTTATGAATATTTTTGTTTTAATTTGTTTGAAAATGATAGTTAAATACAAGAATAGAAGGGGTTCCATGCACTGTTATGAACATGCCCACTCAATGTTAAGATTTGCCTGGGGTATGGCATCATGGTGCATTTTAATTATGGTAAAAGCATTTCCCTACTAGAGAAGTATACTTCTGCAGACAAGCCCATTATAAATATTTACATACTGTAGATGTTGAACATCACTCCTAACTTTGCCAAAGAAAATAATTCTTGGACCCAAATTCCTGGAATCATTTAGGTTCAATATTGTGGTAGAAGTACCAAAATAAACTATTGCTATATATATAAAATATATTATATATATCTGGATAGATATAAGAACTGGTACAGGTACTTACATACATTTATAAAATAAGAAAAAAATCTGTGTCAAGTTTGTAAAAATGTTCTCTTTGCATTTGGGTTTAATAATAGGTTCTGAAAAAGTATGTTGTACTGTTTTTGGAGTATCATGAAAAATTATTTATTTAAAGACATGTGAATGCCTCTGGATGTAGAAATAAATTTGTTTGGATTAAGGTATGCATGGTAATTTCAAATAATTCAAGAATAAACATTGATTTATTTCTGTTTTCAGGAAGTCACTGCCAACACTATCCACCATTTCTACTTCAAGCGGGGACAAGTCTCCAGTTGTTGGAGAGAAAAATGGCTTTCTTGACCCAAATCCAAACCAAGTCATCACTACCAGCTTGTCTGCTAAAACAGACGATGATATTCAGTAAGTCAATTCAACTACATCTAAATATCTATGTTGTCATCAAGTTTAGAAAATGAAAGTTGTTTTCATTCTGCTGTTTTGGGATTGACTAAGACACATTATCAACCGCACTCAAAGATTTTTTTTATTAACACTGAATATTAAACCAGACTGTCTTTTTTTATACGTCCACATTTTCATGTGGACATATATTGTTGTCGCCCCTGTCCGTTCGTCTACAATTGTTTGTGGACACTCTACAGGGCACAATTTTTATCCAATTTCAACGAAACTTGAAATATAGGTTTATCTCCCTAAGATCTTGGTTTCTTTCGATATTGGTATGTATCAGACCGTAACTTCATGGATTATGGCCCCTGATTGTACGAAAAATCGCGGTTTGAGCTTGTGGACCCTATAGAGGTCACAATTTTTATCTGTTTTTGTTTAAATATCAAATATAAGTTTATAAGCCAAATACCTTGGTTCCTGTCGATATTCGTGGATATTGAAGCGTAACTTCCTGAATTATGGCCCCTGATTGTACAAAAAATCACGTTTTTTAGCTTGTGGACCTTATTTTATTCCAATTTAAAAAAAACATTTGAATATATCACCATTACACCTTACTGACGGTTGAGTTCGAATTTTGGGACAATCGGACGATAACTGCCAGACAAAAGGCCGCCCCTCTATGCAAATAGTGTAAACATCTGATATATCAAGGTTGTAGACCCTCTAGAGGTCACAATTTTGATCCAATTTTAATGAAACTTGATATGCATGTTTTTAACCCATATTTGCACATATCTGATCGTACCTTCCTGAATTATGGCCCTTGATGTTACGCAAAATCGCTTTTTGTTTAGCTTGCCTGCCTGGCAGCTGCTGGTTTCAAGTGCAGTTGTTGGATTCTTGGCAAAGATTTATGCAAAATTTATACATTAAATTGTTATTGTGGTCAGTTATAAAAAAAAGTGGCTTTTATTTAAATGACGAATACAAAGGAAGCATTTTGAGAACTTAGATGGCACATTTATACCTTTTGGCATGGAATATTGGAATAAGGATAATTGGAATTCTTGTCCTGCCATGTGGCTTGTGTCAGAAATTGTTAATTCATTGAAGCCAAAAGTAGTGATGGTAAGAAAATGGATGGATTTTTTTTCCCCATAAATCTGTTACTATCTGATAATTTACATCATGTGATTATATAGGCGCATTGATTGGTTGATTATATAATCAATGAGTTATTAGTGTTATGGTTTTGTGTCTGCAGCAAAAAGGTGTTGATTAATTATATACTCCCAGCTAGTTGGCAGACATGAGAATCTATTGTGCAAGGCAGAGGACCTGGCAAGGAAAAAAACATTAGGATGGGACATAAAACTGAGGTCTACATGCACGTAAAAGAACGCTTGAAAAGTGGATTTGATGAAGGATAGGCCAAAATGCTGCATGGGCAAGATTTCCATCATAGTATATTGCATGGTGTATGCCTTGTCTGTGCAGAAAAGAAGGATGTTAAATTTAAATTAAACACCATTTCAGTTCATTTCTGTCTGTCTGCAAATTCTTTTCGTGACAAAACACATCTATTCATAAATTTAAGTTCTGCAAAAAAAACCTTTAAATTGCCAGAGATATTATTTGTGGGATTGGGTAGTCGAATATCTGTCATTGAGTCAAATGTCATGGTTTCACTGCTTGTACTGACAAGGAGTAGGGTAAGCTGTCCAACCTTGTGGGTTTTCTCCGGGTCATCCAGTTATCTCCAATTACTGAACCACATATTAGTCCTGAAATGACCTTCTTTGTGTTGAGTGGATGTTGAACCCTGTTTTTCTCTCACGCCAGAGATATTTAGCTTCAAAGATGCTATTCCCTGAAACAATGATTTTTAGAACAAAGTGATTAAAAATTACTGACACAAACAAAGCATGGTAACCAACAAGAGCAAATTTTGTGTATTTCTGATAAGTTTTCACCTTAGAGCATTGGGTAAATAAAAACATGCTGTAAACATCGATAAGATAGACATTTTACAGGTTTTATGTTGTATTGGAAATAATGTGTGACATCTTTAATCAGCTGACTAATGCAGTCGCCGTTGTTTGTATTTTAGAGGAGAGCCGAAAAAAGCTCCCCTTAATGAACAAATTGAAAAAATCGCTCCCCTAAAAAAGCTCTCCCAGTTTTGATAAGAAGAGTGATTTAGAAATTAAGGAGAGTGATCTGATATTAAAGAGAGTGATTAGTTGCATGTATGAGAAATGGTTCTGAAGATCAATAACTGCATGTATGGGGTCATTCCTGGTTATATACATGTAAATGATAATAAACATTGTCTGCTAAATAATAGCACTTGTAGTTGTACGGTTAAGTCAAACTTCTGCTATCATCTATAACTCCATACTGTATTCTGATAGAAATACTTGTCGACATTTCTAAATATATATAGCTTGAATAAATTTAGGTTAAAAACATAACCCTATTCAAAATATAATCATATAGGCTTGAAAATTCCATCAAAATATAATCTGTTTCTTCCGGAATTATTCTCATTGGAAATTTTCATGTGCCATCTTTCGTAATTTCTCACGTCTCGTGAGGATTCTACTTTACACATCAGAATTTTATTACCATGTGCGATCACATTATATACACTAATCGAATACACCAAATAAATGTTCACAATCACAGCATGATGGCGATCAGATTGTGAGTCTTTCACGATGTCCACAATTTACAAATAAGGAGAGCGATTTTCAATTTTAAGGCGAGGGAGAAAAACCTCCCCTCGGTCTACATTCAGGTATGCGACATGTGCTTGTGAGCGATCGCGCGCCTAATAAAACAATGACTGCTAATGTATGTATAGTAAAATTATATCGTAAGTTTTAAAAAAAATATATGAACATTATGAAGGTCATTGATCAATTATATTGTGTTTACTGAGGGAGGTTACATGCACATTAAGATCATGTAATGTGGTAGGCATTCATATTCTTTACTTAATAGTTAAAGCAATACTAATATATTTTTAACAGACAGGAGGCTAAGGCCCATGAACCTCTTGTTAGACTATTGTTTTTATCAAATTTGTGACTTTTTGTGGGTGGAGTAATTTCACTATAAGTAAAAGAAACTGTGTACTGGCTTGTCGGATTTCTTGCTCAGAAATCTATATATTTCATTGATGTATTTTTAGCCAGATATATTAGATGAGTTACTGTTAAATGACCTAGTTTTCTCTAATTATAATGAATCATGTGATCTTTTGTTGATCAGTATACATGTATCTACAAAATCAATATCACCTCTATTATCTTACTTTGTCCAATATATAAGCTTTGTTTCTTGGATTTATAGCAAAAATATGTAGTTTAATGATTCTAAAATAAAAAATATACAAATGAGTTTCATGCATGTATCTTTAAACTGACACAAGGAAATTAACTCAATATATTCAACAAGATTGAGTTTGCAAGGATGAAAAACATATATAATTACAATGTTTATCTCGTCTTGCGTGTAAAGGAAGCAGTATAACTTTTAGTAAGATAATAACTAATAAATTTCATAAAACAACATTCAAAATAACCATAGAAATTTCCAAATGATGCAAAATAAAATATCTAGCCTATATTATAGCAAAACATTTTGCAGAACATTTCTTAAAATCACACTACCCACCCCCTGGTATTTAGGTTAGATTTTGCATGCAATCTTATAATTTGTACACACCCTATCAGCTGATGTACATGTAACTATATAGTCAAATTGAAAACTATTCATTAACCGACCAGCAAATGCAATTAGGTGATTAGGTACATTTGATAATTTGTTATGCTACAATTAATAATACATATCTTGAAATGAAATGTATTACTGTTTTACCATGACTCAGTAAAGATACTTTAACCTTTGAAAGTTAGATTGCATGTACATAGCAAATTTAAAGATTAATTACACTAAAAAAACATGGACCACAGACTGATAATACTGCAGTTCTCCAGCAATTTAGAGAGACAATAAACCAAATTGTTCATTTAATATTTTAAAAACCAAATTTATAGGTTCTATTTTATATAAATTACTAATCGATTTAGCAATTCCAGTATAAAAATATGCTGGCTTGATAGAGTATTTGTGTATTTTGACCAATCAAGCAAAAATAAATATACTGTTGGTTTGCTTGGAAGAAATTTCATACAGGGCAGGGTATGCTTATTCTTTCTAGAATACCAAGTACTGGGTATGCTTAATCTGCAATAACACCAAATAAGACCAAATACAGGGTGTGCCTATTCTTCCTAGAAATGTCATACATCCTGCACCATCCAGGTTAATGAAGACAGGCATTGTACTGTAAGAAAAAATTATACAGACAATAGTACTTTTTCCTACTCTTCACAATTGACACATGATCTTGTTTTTTTGTCCTATCTGAATGACTAGATCTTGTTCCTTGCCATGCTCTCCATCCTATACCACTCACAAGGGAAAACCACACTGAAAAATCCTAAGGAACTTTTGGCCAACACCAGAATTGAAGCCAGCCCCTTACTTACTGAGCCACACATAATTCCTAGAACACACATTGCAATTTCAGATTCATACAGGGTGTCCTTAAACACCAGATACAGGGTGTGCTTATTCTTCCTAGAACACCAGAATTAGGTTTTGCTTATTTTCTGAAAACACCAGATTTAGGGTATGCTTATTCTTCCTAGAATACATAATACAACTTCACATGTAAAACATAACATGGCCACTAACTTGAGCTGTTCTGTAATTGGGCAGGGAGCCCTTGTTGCAATAGAAATTCACAGACCTCAAAAAATTTGGGGGGGGGGGGGGGTCTGTGCCCCCATACACACTTTTAGTATCAATTTTAGTAACACTGAATATGTCACAAAACTTTGGTTAATTTCAAATCTTACTTGGGTCAAGTAATTTAAATCTTCAGCCTATTGTTGATGTCACTGGAAAGTTGATACTTAAAAGTTACATACACAGTGTATCTATACCAATTTGACAAACTGTTTGACTGTTAGTGTATCTACCTTAATGTGACTTATTTTAAATCTGACACTATTGCTTAAAAGTAAGACCAAAAATGCTTTCTGATAGACAGCACTTAAAACCCAGTTTAGTTTTAATTCACTGATGGGAATGCGACATGAGCCTAAAGATGTATTTATTATTGTAGTTTACTATATTATAGTATTTAAAGATACATTGTGGGAGATTAGATAAAGAGCTGGTAGTTCTCACTATAATAGTTAGAAACTAGATACTGTAAAGGGAATTTGCTGAAAATTTCAGTCAAATTGATCCACCCTGAACCGAGTATTTAGCGATTGAATTTTGGCCCTAGCCTCAATCATCATTTTACTAAAGTCTTTTGATACAAAAAAAATAGTCTCGATTATCCATTTTTTGATTTAATTAGAAGCAGCAGACTAGGTTCTAATCCAGTAAATATCTCAGGCTAGCGATGCCATCAAGAGTTGATTATGGTCTGGATAAGTTAATAAATGTCTAATTAATAATTTAGATAACATTACAGGCCTAAAGAAAGACCTGCAATTGGCAGATTTAGCTCTTGCATAATGTATGTTTAAAGTAATCCTAGGCCTATTATGACCCAACCTTATGTTTCATAAAAACGCTGAACCAGGAAATGTTCTGTTCTACAAAATTTAAAATTTTGCACATATATATAATATGTTTACAATTTAAAATATTTACTGATAATAAAGTCAGTTTTACCAAATCTTCATAATACTAAGATGCTTATTCAGTTCAGACTCATGTCAGGTACATTGTCTATAAATAGTAAAAATTCAAAAACAAGCTAATGGATTATATTAATTTGTCTCCTTCTTGAGAATCATAATATGTATTTGCATATATGTAATCTTGCAATTTAGTAAATGTGATAATATTTTTCAGTTTCAATGCTTTTACAAATTCATAATATGCATGGTTGGTACAATATTTTGAAGACATTAGAAGCATAGAAACTGAGATAGTATGTTTGTGAGGATTGCCAAAACAATTTAAACATGTTTTATATTTTAATTAATTTATTGAAACTACTATAATTAAAGATGTATTATACAAGATCTGATTCTTGCCTATTGCAGGTCTTTTCTCTGTCGTCAAATGTTATATAAAATGTTGTCAAGTCCCGCGTCCCGAAAAACAGCAAAAATGTCTCGCAATTGCTCACACGGAAGATTTCTATACAGTAATATGCGTGAATCTAGTCTCGCAGACTCGCTATAGTCTATTTGAGTATTAGTCTAGTCAAAATACTGAAAGACCCACCACAAATTCTTTTAGAAGGTCTTTTGGTATCAACATGTAGATGACCTTTCTCTGTACATCATTCTGAAAATCCACCGAAATCCACCGGCGTGGTTCTTCCTTGTCACTGGTGCAGGAGAGACGATCTTGGTCAACGTATACTCATTTGTTGGAATCCGATATAAGAGTAGGCCGTAGCACCGGTCCCGGGCACAATTTCCCTCTTAGGACACAATATGGCGTATGCCCGTCTTCATTAGCCCAGTTGGGCGTTAAATCCCATTTCAATTCATTTAACTCGAAGAAATAAATATTTTAATGTAATAAACATAAGAAATGGAAAATATTGACAAAATTCAATGAATATAATTTATATAACATTGACACCCGACACTAAAACTACAACCACTATCAGCAGGGCAACCGACAACACCACGACCGTCAACATACTCAAAGAAAATTAAATTAAATTAAATGAATATAATTAATTCACACTACCAGTAGAAATCTCAGTTCTCAGACAATACATCTTCTAAAATCTCCAACTATTAACTTAAAACTTGGAATAAACTACTAAAGTCAATTATTGTCAAAACAGTCCAGGGAGAGAGAGAAGAGAGAGAAAAAGATAAATGGTATTTTACGCCCACTCGAAACAAACTATGATTTGCTTGCACATAAGGCCTTTAGCTTTGGGAGGAAACCAGTGGACAAGGTTAGATGGCGACCCCATTCCTTGTGACGTATAAGCAGGGAATCGAAACCATGCCACTTGACTCAATGACAGAACTTATGATCTAAAATGCATGCGTCAACCAAAGGGCACCCCACACCCCTCTTACCCAAAGAATAATAAAATTAAATAAATACTAGTATTTGTTACATGATGAATCACATAAACAAAAAACATTAGCTGACTACTGGGACATTTGCCGTGACTGAAGGCTATGTATTTCTATTTTATATAAAAAATAAATACTGTAAGACAACGGATGTATCGAATTGCTTGTTTCTTTGTTTTGATATGTATACTTGGTTTAATGGAGTATCAATTACAATCGCTTTCACTTTATGGTCTCTGATTTATTAAAATTCAAATATATCCATTGATGCATAACGGATGATTGTGTAAAGATATCTTGTATTATTAATATAGCTTAATGACAGGGTGATCAACCAGGGAAAATAAAAGTCCAATCGACACAAACTAGGTAATTTTGGGACTAACACATGATTTTATTTTATTTCAATCATTCGCTTGCATGTACGGGTCGTTAACAGTGGGGGGAAACCAGAAGACCTGGAGAAAACCCACGAGGATGGACAGGCGACTGCGACCCTACTCCTTGTCACCTACAACCGGGGAATCGAAACCATGCCAGTTGACTCAATAACAGACATTATACTACAGCTCGCATGTGCTAACCATTCGGCCATCCACCCCCCCAGCTCTTAAATAATGCATCTTTAACCAGCATAACATCCTTTATACTCAGTTATTATAAAATCTCAATCAGGTTCACAACATTTAGCATGATTAAACCTAAGCGATAAAATCTCAAAACGTTTCACTACCTTCGGCATGATTTAATTTTAGCGCTAAACGATTAATGTACATGGATGATAATTCGGCAGTCATTTGATTGTAACTTAAAAATTTCATTCATTGCCATAATAAATATTTACACTCACCCTTTCAAATGGTTCTGTCGCACAAATTGATAATTTATATTTTGTTTGAAATGAAAGATAGGTATTTTTACATCTACAAAAGAAATTGTGTTCGGTTTTTTTTTAAATGCAGGATGATGCTGGCATACGAATACAAAACACGCTGATATGAAAATTTATATGACTTGAATTTATATTGTTGCTATGTATTATTATCCTAAAAGATTTGTGGTAAATATCATATGACACACAAATACAAATCAGGCTTATGTGAATATTTCATAGTTCGATTTTCTATTGTTGCTATGAGGAAAAGTGAAGTAACTATATATCAACATTGTTATGCATAATGTCCCGCAATATGATCAAGCAAAGGTGGTCACCCTACACATGACAAGCCCATAATCAACTCTCTAGAACATTCGATGGCTGAGATATTGAATGGATTAGAACATACATAAAATATATTTTACAGCGGCTTTGCAGTTTGATTTATGTTTACATATAGTGTATAATATTTAGGCTAAGTATGGATATCTAGGTTACCAGGTATTATTTAAGTAATTATTGCGTAATTCTTATGTATGATGAATGTTTGTTGTGAAATCATTGATTAAGTCACAAGATGTACATGATAGGTGATTTGATAAGGTCTTCATTGAGTTCTAAACTGCTAGAAATGCAGCTAATAATTTACATATATGTCAGGAAATGTTATTTAATGATTTAATTTGGACGTTGAATGCATAGAACAAATGTTTTATACAGGTAAAATTCTAAGCTACATATGTTAACTGCCAGGTGAATTTGCTTGTATAGGTAATGTTGATTAATGTCTGGTATATATACTTATTGTGTAAAGTAAAACTAAACTTGAAGACAGCATAGACAATGGGCTAATCAGAATCTGTATGGCCCAAGCTTATCATTTATGGCACATATGGCACAGAACTATCAAAATTTGTTTTAAATAAGTTAATCAGTTATATAATTTGATTAATGAAAATTCATGCTTTACAAAATAGATAGTACCTGTGTTAAGGTTACTTGGCCAGAAAATATAGGGCTTGTTGGTCAGAATATTTTTATTTTGTCGCCGGATTGGGTTTTGGGGGGTAAGAAGGGAGGGGATTAATGAGATGCCAATAGTTTTGTACTTGTGACAAATGTGATGCCAGTAGTTTTGTGCTGGTGACAAATGCAGTAGTTTAGTGCTGGTGACAAATGTGATGCCAGTAGTTTTGTGCTAGTGACAAATGTGATGCAGTTAGGTTAGTGCTGGTGACACATGTGTGATGCATTAGTTTAGTAAAGGTAACAAAGTGATTCAGATAGTAGGTGATACATTATTTAGTACTGGTGACAAATGTGATGCAATAGTTTAGTATTCGTGGTGAAAAATGTGATGCGCATTATGTAGTACTGGTGACAAATGTGATGGAAATAGTTTAATACTGGAACAAATGGGATGCATATTATTTAGTAGGCCCACTGGTGACAAATGTGATGTAAATAATTCTTTACTTAAAAGATGTGGTGCTAATAGTTTAATACTGGTGACAAATGTAGTTTAATACTGATGACAAATGTCAGGCTAATAGTTTAGTACTAGTGGCATGGCTTCCAGACATGCAAACAATATGACAAGAAAAGACAAAGATAATTATGTAAATTATCTTTATATGTTATCCCAGAAATAGAATCAATAATTTTATATTAGATTTGATGTTATTCAATTTCAAAGAGGCCATTGAGCTATTTTTAGCTAATAGGCTTAATCAACAGCAAGAGAGTTAAAAACTATGCATCATTCTAATAGCCCAAAACATTTTCTTTAGTACACATAATTTAATATCTAAGCCTATTTTAAATTTTTTATTTTCAGAACCACCCCCAGTCCAACCATGATCTCAAAGAAAAGCAATGGAAATGGAATTGTAAGTACAAGAATATGGTATATGAAATTTTGTTAAAATCGGAAATATCAGAAGGTTGTGGACAAGTATACAAATTTATCTAGACTAAAGACCTTTAAAGTCTTGAAAATATCAGAAAACTGTAGGTCATGAGTAGTCAATAGATTCCATATGTACTGTAGCAAAATAATAGAACATTGTCCAGTACATAATAATATTCCTAAGGATCTTTGAACATTGTTATTTATACAGAACGCTTTTAATTTTTGTGTGCCGACATGGAGATGTGATTATAGTGACATCGTCTACACAAATTCTTATAATCAAAAAAGGTTTTGATCTTAGCTGTATAAATTATTTGAATTGATCAGCCCCAATCCCCCCTCATAAAATTCTGAGATATACGCTTGAGTTTATTTATTGACATATTATTAATTGCATATTTTGGGAGAAAATACACATCTAAACTGTATTTATTGGCTGATAAAACAGAATTGGTGACCATTTAAAAAAAACTAGTGCAAAAGATTGATAATTTAAGCCAAAGCATTTATTTCCTCAATCCCAAATTAGTGTCAACAGTTTTAACCAATATTGAGAAAAACCATGGCCAATTGTTGTCCTAGCCCAATTGAACACAACTGTCAATAATTGAATAAGCCAAGAAAGTGTTAAGAAGTGACCTGACCTGGGTAAAGGTGGTCATACTTGTGTACAGTGATCAGTGTGCAGGGTGAATTTAATCTCATGACCTCAACTACAGAGCTAATTAGGTGCTTTGTACTGTACTTGGTCAGGTTTAAAAGGAACGAAGGTGAACATTTTTAAAATGAACTTATAATGGCGAGAACTAGTCAGTTTAACTAGTTAACTCTTCGGAAATGTAATGACAAACATTAAATTACAAGTTCGACTACAAGTCTGTAAGCTGAATTTGTTCTCTATGCCTGTAGATTATGTTTAAATCAAGTTTTTGTTTTTATTTACAGGATTATCTGTATCCACCAGTCAGTAAATCCAGAAATGAACAGTTTCACAAATTGTTCAGATCCGTCCCAGATGACGAGTTCCCCATTGATTGTAAGTTAGCTTGTTATATTATGAATGCAGGTTTTACTTTTTATTTCCTAATTGGCCATTTTACTCTTATCAATAACAGCTTAAATTAGCTTTATATTTTCAAATAAGTGGTCAGCAATTTGATTAAAGAAATAGGAACACAGAGGTCTTCTGGTGATGGTTTACAACAAGCTTGAACCAGGCTAGCATCCTATGACAAGTGGACCTTTTAATTTTATGCATCGTTACTTCGAAACAAATTACCTTATTTTATTCGAAAACCACTATCTTTTATTATATTCAAATCGCATTTGAAAACTCATTTATTCCAACAGGCTTTTTACTGATTTTTTATATTTTATTACATTCAAATCGCATTCGAAAACTCATTTATTCAAACAGGCTTTTGACTTATTTTTTACATTTTACTGTTTTTATATGTACGGTAGTTAATTTTTTTGTCATTTCACACTGTCCTTTCTTTTACTTTTTTTTAGGGAAATGTTTTTATTTTAACTTTGTTATTATTAAGTGCATCTGAACAATTCTGTGAAAGATGCACAATATATATGTATTAAATAATAATAATTATATTGGATGATAAAGACAATTTTGTTGAAGTTCCAATATCCTGTGTTAGTAGTTTTAAAGTACAATTTATAAAGGTACACTAGACGTCATATCTTCATGTTGACATACATACATTATAAACTATTATTATTCAAATTTTTTTAGTTTTTCCATTGTTATGCAAGGTACAAAAGTACCTGAAGAGCTGAACCTCTTTGATATAGGTCAACATGAAGTTTGGTGAAAATTAAATATTATCTATCTGTGGACCTCAAAATGTAAATGTAGACAGATACACTTTAAAGGGGGGGGGGGGATCAAAATATCAAATTCAATTATAACTCAACACTTTCATTTTTTACCCAAATCAATGAGAGATAGTCATTTTGATATGTATGTGTATATATTTCTTCATAGATGATTAAAACTATACTCTTTTCATAAGACAATTTTAGTCCTTTAAAATAACATATAGGGATTAAATAAAAGAGCCTTGAATAAAGTGCTTGACATATTGGAAGTAGTTTTAAATCAATCATTTAGTTTATCTCATTCTCTTCAAAGATACTTGTCATTTACCTAAGATAAAATTCTCTTAAATCAGAGAGACTTTTCTCTTTAATGTTGGAAACTAGATTTATTTTGTCTAGTTTTACGATAACAATTAACATCGTTATAATATATTTGAAGGTGACCTGAATTCTACTTTCTCTGACAAACATATCTCCTTTGTTCATCTTTAATTCAATAAAAATAACTTCCTTACAGTAACTGTAGTTTTCATGCAGGTTATATAATGGCTTACATTGTACATTTACGATCAAGCCATGCAATAAAAACATTAGATATTCATTTGATAGTATTTAGATATCTATGTTTTAGAATGTCATAAAGTCTCAAATAAAGCTAATGTCTAATTAAAATTCTGATTATCTCCAAAGCCACAAATAGATTGAAATGCACAAAGAAAGTCTCAAATAAAGCTAATGTCTAATTAAAATCCTTATTATCTCTAAGGCCAGAAATAGATTGAAATGTGGAAATATTTTAAAGTGGCAAGTTTCTGAGCTTTGTCGAAGTTACACAACTTCTCACAGAAAACTTGAATTTTTTAGATGCTTCCAAGGAATTTGTGTGTTGGTTTTCAGATTTAAGCATGGTTATTGCCCTTGTCACTTAGCTATAGTCATAAAGTGTCTGATTTCTAATCTTTCAATTCAATACACTTTCCTTTCTTTTACTCCATTGAATGGTTAGTATTTAATATTTCATAGCAGACAAAAAAAAACCAGACCAAATTTCATTGCAGATAGTTTTCATTGCCATTGAATAATGAATATTAAAAAATAAGTTCAAATAGCCTTGAAAAAGTATTAAAATATTTGGATTATATGTGTTAGCAACAAGTGTGGACTGAGATCTCAATGGCAATAGTCTTTGTGGATACAAACAAGCAGGATGTAATTGTATGTTAGAAAACGTCAGTACTATTGTTATTTAATGATCCATATTGTTTGACAATTTATTGTATATTTGTAGATTTTTCCTGTGCGTTTAAAGGAGACATATTACTTCAGGGTTATTTGTATATATCACCCAATTGGATATGTTTCTATTCAAAAATCAAAGGCCGTGGCAGACAGGTATTGTTACATTTTTTCATACTTCCTTCTACTTTCATTTATAACGTTCCTTGATTCAGTTCATAAGCTACATTTAATGGTATATAAAAGAAATAAGATAATATACTATATGTTTTGTACTGGATGGTACATGAATGACATTGTGACCATGAAAATAAAAGATATTTACACTTCTGTTATTCTTATTGTAGCTTGCATATACAAGTTTCCTAGTTGTGGCAATAAAGTTTTCTGCTTTTATAGATTGTATAAAAATGAAATATGGAAAATACAAAGAATTTGATCAAATACAGATCTGTCTTATGATCAAAACAAATTCCTTCTAACAGAGTTTGCGATATATATCACAAGTTTAGGCTAATCATTCAAAACGTTTCTCAATACTATCCCAAGTAGCTTTTGACATATGTTGGGATCAATTTCCGATTCCTAGATATTGTGAACCTTTCAGTATTAATATAAGTTGATTTTAGTCAACTATTGTTGACTACTTGACAGTGATGTTTGGAATGAATATATTAATAAATATAAAAGTTACGTTAGAAGAATGATATTGTTCAGATGACCTAAGACTAGTAATTGCTTCCCCAAATTTCATGATACAAGAATGTAGTTTGTCTATTAATAGCATTTCTCTCTTTCTCCCTTATTGTCCCTGCTGCATGGCATTTTATGTTGACTTTTGGTCTAGAATTGAAGAAGAGTGTTTGAATCAACATTTTCTGCCAGGTTTTGGTGAATAGTCATGATTTTGAGGTGGAAGGATCAGAAAGTAAACAGACGTGAATTAGGGAAATCATTTATAAAAATAAAGTAACAGCCAATAAATTCAAGATGGTCAACCCCTTTCAATATTTATATCAGATGTTGCTCTCTTTGTGGTTATAAAGATTAAGATCATTAGAATGTTAAAAAAAATGTTATAGATCAAGGTATGCCATGAATTTAACATTGAAGTCAATGGAGAGAGGAATATTAGTCTTGTTCCAGATATGATTGACAGATTTATCTCCCTTGTGTTGTTTCAGCTGGAAATTCCCTTCACAGATGTAATATGTATGACACGAGAAAAAACAGCTTTAGTATTTCCCAATGCCATAGGTATTCAAACAGCTGATAGTAAGGTAAATCATTCTATTATCCTTTTTACCTGACTATATATCTTTAATATTTGAACAAAATTCTGATGGATTTCTTGAGCTTATGTAATTTGAATGAATTGCAAGAACTTACGAATGATAGCCTTTCAAATATTTTGATTGTTATAGACATATTCTTGGATATATAATTCATTACGTTTATTAAATGCAATGTTTCAACAATGTGTATCAAATGGAATGAGGTGTAAGTTGAGCTAGTACTACTATAAAATATCCCACTTACAAATTGTGACTATTTACAAGCATACACTTCCTATACTTCCGATTATCACAAATATATTCCTGTTATGATAAATGACTTGAGTTAGCAATCAAACCAACTTACTGAAATTGAATGTACCTAATAGTATAATAATGTTGTCAAAGCATCAATGTTTAAAATAAGTTGGGAGTCATTCCGATTCCTACCCTAAAAAAGTTTTTGATTGATGAACCTGCATTTATCAGTTATAGTTTATCTTCCTTTATATTTAATTGCATATCATACTTTAGTATGGACTTGCAACGTTTATGAACGGAACAGAATGTGAGGTTATCGTGCAGTGGAAGACTTAAGTCTTCACATATAGTTTGTGCTTTTGTACGCTAGCACACTTTAGAAAACAATTCCAATAATTTCACAGTAAAAATAGTCTGTGGTGCCATTAACAGGCCTGTAGGGATGAACAGACAAGGCGAATAGCATTGTGTGAGAGTATTAAATTGATAACAAGGGATTTGTTATTGTCTAGTACTGAGTAACAGGGGAATACAGCTTTAAAATACTGTAATGGTACCTACTACATTGTTATGTATATAATGTTGATAATATATGAAATTCTAAAAAATATATGTACAAGATAAAGCATAAAGATTTTAATGAATTGATCCAAAATCAAACTGTTTCTGTCCTTTCAAATTAATTACTGTAAACACAGTAGATCATTTTCTAATTTTCTAAATCATCTAGTTTTTAGCCCATGAATGTACATGTATTTATGATTTAAATTATGGTGGATACATATTTTGAATACATTTTGATTTTTAATTTGTAGATTGTGTTTGTATCATTTATGTCTCGAGATTCTACATACCGTCTGCTAGAAAACCTGTGGAAATTATCTCAGAGCTCGGTAAGTTTCAACAGTCTATTGTGTTATTTCGGTGAAGGTTTTGCATACGATTATGTTTTTTTTTATATGCTCACATTTGTATATTGCCTTCACCATGCTTCGTCCTGCTCGTTGATCACTCACTGACATATTTATATCGACAGAGAAATCAAGAAGCGGGGAGATCTAAAATACTTTGCGCTTTTTTTATTTTATAAGTTGCTGTCTTCTTGCACGTAGTTACCTATAGTAGTAACTTAGTGGAGAGGCACGTTTAAGGAAGAAGTCAAGATTTCACATGATCTCCAGAATGTGGAGGCACCTTAATTTTGTGTAACATTGTATGTTTATTGTTAAATACATGACTTATTTATCTCACTAAATTTAATAATTCATGACAAATTAAGTATAGCTCAATTATAGTCAAATGAACAAAGAAATCAGCACTATTGTATTCCTTTAAAGATACATTCCTGCGTACAAACTGAGTGATTTGATGATATATTCGGACTAAAATCACATTCAAACTAATTAATTTATCATAATTTTGCTTCAAATCCTTCTCAAAATATTGTAATTGTCAGCTAATATCCCTGCTATAAAAAATTGATCAAAAGACGTCATGTTTTTGTCACGTGACTTAACCTCTCTTGGCACCTAGCAACGGGTGCGAAGCCGGAGGAGAATTCATTGCTTATACAAGATGATGTTGTCTTTATAAATCGCTGACTATTTATTACAAATATCGAAGCCCAATAAATTTTCAGATTTTTTTTCCGTGGATTTTAACTCAGAAGCTGTTGCACCATCAAGTTTTTCAACATATACATAAAACGCACTCTAAACGCTGGGAGATTAGACAATCTTCGCATGCTACCTTTGACGTTACTCGATCAGACATCACTAATCGTTGGGTTGCCGGTTAGGGAAACCCTTATATTTTTGCCCTGTATGCAATCCATGTGTGTTTTTCATGGAATCCAGTATTTTTGTAGTAAGATTAGATGTTTCTACTTTCCATATATACCAAAACTGCCATGCTTTTATTGGAAATAAACACCTGATAAGTACTTTTCTGGGAAAGTATCTTTAAAGCTCATTATAATAAGAAATCGCTGAGTATGTTGTTTATATTTATAGCTGTATATTATTTGTGTAACATTCTGTCACACTCTGTACTACTATTATACACTACATGTAAAATCAATATAAAATCACACTAACAATGGTAATATTATGTATTGTCATATAGTTCACATGTCACATTTTATTATGAATAAATTTCTCAACTATGTAATTGAATTATCTAAAGTGTTTATAAACCTGATCTTTTATTGATTTTTTTATGTAAATGGTATAAAGCCTACTGCTATTTTCAGTAGGATGGAAATAAATGTGATCTGTTTTGACTATTTACCATGTTTTAAAAAGACTAGCCTTTCACAAAACATTTTCAGATCGAATTTAAAATCATGACTTAGATAGTTTAAAGACATAACAATCAGTGATATTAAATTAACTTACAATTTAATTGTAAATCACATTTCCTATGTATAAATAACATAGGGTACCGCTCTAATAATTGTCTTCGTTTTACAAATTTGAAAAAATGTTTTCTTATATTAAATATTTTCGGAAAATCTGCATTTTAATTTTTATAAAGATGAATAGAAAGTTGAAATTGAATAGCAAGCAATATTAAAATTAAGATTTAACTAGACAGTTTTAGGGTTAATATAATGTGTTATGTATTGTCTGTACTTTAAGGTCTCTCTCTTAATGTCTGTTATTGACCCATGAAGCATGAATAATAATATTTAGCCTAGTTCAAATTTTAGCCAATGTTTGACTGGCCTGATATATCACCTGATGTATCTATTATAATACATGTACATAGCTTGTTCTGCACCATTAAGTATATCTATACAACAGGGCCCTACACAAGGTTATACTATAGTAAATAGTAGTGGTCTATGTATTTTTATACAAAACAAGGATATAAATAATAGTAGTTGTCGTATTTTTATACAAGGACATAATAATAATAGGCTTTATGTAAGTAATAGAAGATATTAACACCATTACATTAATCAGCTTTATTGTATAATAAGGTATTTATGGATAGGTAATAACTGTTATTATACCGGTGATTAAGCTTCAAAAACAACATACCACAGTATTATTATTACATTTTATTAATGTACATAGTATGCTGTGGTCACTGAATGTTTTGATATATCAATGCCACAACTATAGGGTCTTCATGTATTGCATACAATATTTTTAAAAGATATATAATCAATCAGATTCTATTGTATTAGATATCTTGTTCTATTTGGCCTCTTTGTATCGTCTGTGAAAAAGTAGTGCACAAGGCAGAATCTTTCTTAATATGATGTATGTGCAAATATTTTTTTGTTATTGTATGCTGCTCCCCGTGGTTCTGTTTATGCAATAAATTTATCTTAAAATTATATATATATACCAGTATGTGTTCATTTAAACTTTTTGAATGGAATTATTTGTAAAGACATAAAAATCATTAGAAATTCTAAATTACAGAAGAGAGAAGACTTTGTTATCGTGCAAACAGTATTGTCAGTGAGTAAGCCAAGAGATTCACAAGGATTTTACAGTGTGGTTTCCCCTTTTCAGTGATGCAATATACAATGACTACTCATTGAGACGAAAAACTGTGGTCACCTCTACATGTTGGGCAGCATGCATGAAAAGAACCCTTGACAGTTGGAATTTGAAATATTAAGAGTAGGCCATAGTGCCTCTGTATGGGCTAAGTGTTCCTTAAATCACACTGCATGTCATATGCCCATCTTCATTAGCCCAGTTAGTTCATTGAGTGTTGCAGTTTTGTACATTTGAGACGTCAAGGGATGTCAAAGGGTTTAAAAGCAAAATCCAGAGGTAAAATGCTGGAATTGCTGCTTGTGTTTTGAAGATGTATATGTTTAAACCATTTGAGTTCCTCTGGTATTTCGTATTTCTAGAGTTTATTATAACTGTGCTGTATCTATCTGTGCCTAATGCAACTAATACTAAGCGCTGACATAAACTATAACAAAAATCCTAACATCATTACCATTCTGTACTTGTGGGGGACAGATGTTGTAATGTGACCTTTATTGTAGTATATTATATAGAGGCAAATTGCAGCTAGACAGTGTTGAAAACAGTAGACTAAAGTTGTAACCGTCTTACTGTTAATTGGTTTAAATTTTTAATTGATGATTTTTTTGGGGTTTTTTTTTTCAGGGTGATGTAAAAAGTAAAAGTAGTTCATTAAAGAGAAAGATTGAATTTGAGAGTAGTGTACAGCGTGCTTTAATTGAAAGTTCTAGTATTGGGGATACAACCAGTGATTCTGATCTAAATATCCTTTTTGATACGTGTAAATGTGTAAATATTGAGAATTGTAGTAAAGAAAAGAGAGACAAATCTTGTGTTATCTGTAAATCAAAAAAAAGTATGGACCAACCACCATCTAAACTGGCACGGGTTCCTTTTCTTTACATGATCAAATGTAAGTTGTTCAGTTTTTATTTTATCAGATATTTTGGTTAGTGGAAGGTCACTATTCACCCCTTTCCCCCAAATTAGTTGAAACTTAACTTTAGGAGGATGTTTTTAATCCTATCATGATACTTAAACTAGTATTTAGGTGTTGACCAATAAAACAGAGATGGCCTGTCCATGTACCTTCAAAAAGATGTCCAAGAATGTTGATGCCTGAGTCTTCTTGTTTTTCTTTTTACAGGTTTTGATCGTCATGAATTAACAAATGCTTTCTGTAATTTTAAATTCCGATTACAAAAGTAAGTTGAAAAGGCTCGTATTTGCTTGGTTTTTTTTAGCGAAATAATTAAAAGACATATTTAAACTTAGGAAATATTATTACAAAGATGTAATTACACTACCTGTTATATACATGTAATGATGTTACAAAAGTCAATCATTAACAATAGTTAACAAGGTTTTAATATATCAGATTCAAGATGTATTATTTTGTGATTTGTAATATAATTAGCTTGCCGCTGGAAATTGAACAGTATCTCTAAGCTTAGAATAGAATACCATCACAAAGTCATACTGCCAATGAAAGACTAGATGTTCTGGGCTAGAGTGTACAGTGTTTTCAAGAGATCAAATTATGGGGTAGCACATATAAATAACTGTGATCTGTCTTTATCAGATATGTAATTTTCATACAAAATACTATATCAGTTTAGTTCATTAAACAATAATGAATTGAGATATACATATCAAAATTGTATTTATATGGAATAGTAGTACTAGTATACTAATAATTTTAGGTGTATTTTTAACAAATATTTGATGTTTTTATCTTTCAGAATACCCAGAACTAACTTATTGCTGGCGATTTGTAGTATTTTGTGAGTACATATTTTTTATATGTTTTATACGTCCATCTGTCCGTCATCCGTAAAATCTTGTGGGGGCTCTAGAAGCTAACATTATCCTCCGATTGACTTAGAATTTATATACAGTGTTTAATTTGTTCAAGAGACGAGGATTCTTTTTATGTTCATCCATTTCCGATAATTACCCCATGATTAGCCCACTTTGCCAAGTTTTGTAGTTGCTCTGGGAGAATATTTCCTTGATGATAGGTGCTGAAAGCTAATGCTTTTTATCAAATCAATTTTAAGTAACTTCTTAGATAAAATATTGATTTGAATGATTGATTTTCACAGGGTCTTTTTCTTATTAGTGTCAGCTGTTGGACTGACTTATAAAGTATTAGTTATACAAGCTAAAATAGATCTAGAACAATCCTGGAAACCACATTTTAAACAACGTTTCAGGTAATATACTATTTATATATCTTTAATCTTTATATATCTGGTGGGTTGAGTAGCCGCATGGTTTAATGCATGTATGTTGGATCATAAGGTCTGATATTGAGTCAAGTGATGTGGTTTCGAATCCCCTCTTGTACGTGACAAGGAATAGAGTCGCCTGTCCAACCTTGTGGGTTTTCTCCGGGTCCTCCGTTTTCCTCCCACATCTAAAGACCTTACGCACAAGTGAATTATTGAATAAAAATTGAACATATGTTAGTCCCGAAATGACCTAGTTTGTGTGGAGTGGACGTTAATCTCTCTCTCTCTTTCTCTCTCTCTTTATATATCTACAGTATTTAGCAGTAGTTGAGATGTGTATAAATACTCAGTTCTCTGACAATACTCAGATAAACCTGTCCTGTGATGAACGTTACATTATGTTAACCGTTTGTCATTGTGCGAATCAAGACCAATCTCCGATTAGGAAGACAAAAATTCCATAGCAAGTACTCAGTTGAACATTAGAGCAGGTTAGATTTGTCACCGTGTAGGTTTAGTTTTTTTTTTAAGATTTAATTTAAGCTGTTCGCATTTTAGGGATCATATGATGGGAGAGGCTTTTAATGTGGAGATGGAAAGTCATGCTTCTACCATTAAACATTTACATTCTGTAATAAAAGCTAATATACAGTTATTAGAAGAGGTACGTCTTTTGTTTTTATCATTATATGCCAACAAATATCAACAAAATCTTTTGGAAACGTCTGAAATGTTTGTCCACTCTTCAATTGATAAATTTTACTTAGGCATGTCCCTCATCATACATTATTTGATTTTCGTTCTACAGAATTTAATACTTAGTGAACAAATTAATAAATTTTCATCAATTAATTTTCTCTAAAATGACATCTTGTTGAAAAAATATATCACCTCTATATAAATAAAAAAAATTAAAAAAATTACGAAATTTAAAAGTTGATATTCTTTTTAAAAGTGTAGATATACTTTCTTTTGCAGGTTCATGATTCTCTTAAAAGTTTACAGTCAGGAGTGGGAAAGAATACATGTAATGTGAAAGAATGTCCATGAAATATTTACACCAGTATTTCTGTCTCATTGTGATTTAGGTATTAACTGTATTACTACCTTGGTGTATAGTTACACCACATGCTAACTGTGATTGACTGAATATATTGTCATATATATGTCTATATTTGATCTGGGAAATATGTGAATGATTGATGTGTGCAAAATGATGTACCAGTGAAAATGAAGATGTATGAATTAAGTTAAGATTTGTGTTTCTTGTGCAGAAGATAATTTTGTTACACTTTTCTTATGTTTTGTTCATTTGGAATGAAGATTGAAGACCTATTGTGGATACTTGATTGTGTGTCAAGAATGTTTCAAATACATTGGATTGCATTCAAGTGACATGGAATGAAGTTCTGTTTGTCTTGTTAATTAATGTGATGCGAGTTGATTTGAGAGCTGTGATGATTGATGAAGTGTTTTCTCATTCCTCTGGAGCATACTTTGATGCCTCATATTCTATCTTTTACTTGAATATCACTGGAATTATTTGATTTGAGATAATTCAATTGAGTATCCCCTTTAAAGATGCATTATGTAAGATTTAGATAAAGAGCTTGCTATGAATAATTAATATATTAAAAATTTCATTTAAATTTCTTTATTCGGAGCAAAGTTATCAGTATTTGAAGTTTTAAATATATTGTCTTGTCAAGTACCATTGCTATGATTGAATTATTGATTGGCGATCGTTTTTTAATCCCATAAAAATCACGGCCATCCATTAGTCTAGAGAGTTGATTATGGGCTTTTCGTGCGAATAAATGTCTAATTTATACTACATTTTGAAGTCAAAAGAAAGACCTGCATTAGGCTTACTAGGCACCTACATAATGCATCTTTAAGTGTTTCCTCCACACTCTTTAGGCCTACAGGCTAGAGGGAATGAGGGAGGGGCCACTGGCATGTTTATGCTGAAAACTGTGAACCAAATACTAGCTATTGGTCTACCCTAATCAAGATATTTTGTAATAAATATATGCTGTAAAACATGATGCTTTTGTGCACATGACATTAATGCATGACCAAGAGACATAAACTTCATAGTATGTTGGTTGACCACAGATAATTAGCACCTACAGGTTTCATGTTTTGCTGTATATATTTTTGTTTATTTGATTTTATTTAATTGATAAATTATTACATAAGGTCTCTCGGCATCATTTGAATTTTTTTGAAAATATCAAGTTTTCCATGGACTTATTTAACACAGTATCAAAATATCAGCGGTAGATAATTCCCAGCTTGGATTCAATCGGATGAAATAGATGCCCATCAAAAGATTTTAGAAAAAAAGATTACTGGCTTTTGACCATATCGTTTATATCGTCTGTAGAATGTTGACAAATTTTAAATTTATCATATCTTTGTAAATAACAAACGGAATTGACCTTGGTTAGACTGATATTCCCTTAAGAAATTCAACTTTGACAGTGTTGTAGTTTGCCCTTAAAAATCATGTCAGAGATTTAAATTCTGCATGCTAAAAAAACAAGATCATTCTCACAAACTCATTATACCTCTCTCAAACACTTCTTGTGTCTGACAAAAATGATAGTTTTGCCGCATTTAGAACACTGGGGATCTTTCAATGGTTTTGTTTTTCGTTTTGAGTTAAAACAAAACCTATAATTTTTCTAGATCCTACTTGTAAAACATGTACAAATCTGCAGAAAAAACTAAATGATTACATTGTCAGTTGATGTAAATGGGTTTCTGAGAATGAAATGATGTATTGTAATCAGCTCAATGTTTTGAAAGTATTTTCTTTAAAATATGATTGTATGAATGAAATATTTGTCTCAATATCTAAGCTTTGGCCAAAGAGAAACTTTTAAATCTTATTACTGTTACTGTCTATTCCTTATGTTTACATTGATCGAAAATGAACATTTTTGAGAAATTGGCCTATAATAATTGAAGGCTAGACTGTTAATATTTTTTTTTATTATGTAGTGACATTTGCCTTTATTAAAGTTATATTTTACGCTGGAATGGAGTGATAGAAGTTGTGTATGACCAGATTTTTTTTTTTATGTAGTTGTGGCTTTTTCATTTATATCAAATCGTACAAAGACCTTAAATTGAAAAATGTGATAATGTATATAAAGAATACATGTATGTATTGTAATCATTGCTTTTCTTTCTTGTTATTTGGAAAGATTCATCTTTAAATTACTGTTAAAGATGCATTATGTAAGATTTAGATAAAATGGGGTGGGTGTTATTTCTGTAATAGTTTTAAAATAGTTAATGAAAAATGAATATATTGCAAATTTCAGTCAAATTACTTTTTTCTGATTGAAGTTATGAATGTTTGAAGTTTTGACAAGAATAGCGTAGTCTTGTTTGTCATTGCTACATTATTAAACGAAGACTTAATTTTTGTCCCCCACCTTCCAAAGAAAGCAGGGGACTATTAATATGGGTCTGTCAGTCCATCCATCCATCCATCCGTCTGTATAACTCTCCTCCTAATTGAACTAGAATGTTCAAACTTGGTGTAATTGTTTATTAGGTCAATGCCTTTATGAAGTTTGAAGATGAGTATTCTCTGCTTAGGGTAAGCAGAGATAAGCAATTTGATTGGTTGATGCTTTGGAACACGATAACATAGTTCTAATTAAGTGAGGGTAAGCAGAGCAATAAGCAATTTGCTTGGTCGAGACTTTGGAACACAATATCTCTCCTTCTAATTGAGTCACTGTGTTCACACTCTGTATAGGTGTTTATTAGGTGAATGCCTTGATGGAGTTAGGTGATGAGAATTTTCTGCTATGGGTAAGCAGAGATAAGCAGTTTGATTGGTTGATGCTAGGTTAATGACAGAGATAAGCAATTTGATTGGTTGATGCTTTGGAACATGATAACTTAAGTTCTAATTAAGTGAGAGTGATGAAACTTTGTGTATAGTTTATAGTTTTATCACATCAATACCTTGACTAAGTTTGACAATGAGAATGTTCTGCTTAGGTGAAGGAGCGATAAGCAATTTGATTGGTTAAGACTTTGGAACATAACAACTCTGCTTATAATTGAGATAGAATGTTTAAACTTGATTTAGATGTTCATTAGGTGAATGTCTTGATTGAGTTCAATGATTAATATTTCCTGCTATAGCTAAGCAGAGCTAAACAATTTCTTTGACTTTGAATCTATCTGATAGAGAGTGATGAAACTTAGTGTATAGTTGATAATCAGTGTGATTGCATGATACTTTTGAAAAAGATCAGTGGCAATTAATTAATGTGTCATCTATTTATTTCGGGATTTCGGTGGGGGACATCAGCCTTACTGTTGGCTTGTTTAGTTCAATGTTAATAAATGAAGACTTCATTTTCCATTTCAACATTAACCAATTAAATGGGGGAGGTGTGCTAATCCATTTAATATCGCAGCCATCCGACTTCCTAGCGAGTTGATTATGGGCTTGTCATGTAAATAAATGTCTAAATAATAATTTATGTCACATTTTAAACCAGAAAGGTCTGTGATAGGCAGATTTAACTCTTACATAATGCATCTTAAAGTAAAAAAAATATATTTGACATAATTGTACTGTTAAAAGATTCCTATAAGAATGAAAAATATTGATTGATGTATGATTTTTTTGGTTATATTTCTGGTTTAGTAGGCATTCATTATTATCTCCCTTTGATGTATCTTGTATTGGAGGAAAACTTTTTGATTATACAAGCCTTTTTATAGTCATGGCATAATGTATGATTCCAAAATGCCACCAATAGTTTTAATTCAGACTTGAACTAGGAAAGTACCTTGTGATTAATTAGAAATATAATCTCTAGATATCACAAGAATTAGTTACTGTAGTTCAATTAATTTTGGTGACAAATAGTCAGAACCAATATTAATGTTATTGACCAGATTGTAAAACTTGAAATCATCTGAAAGGGGAAGCTACTCTGCTTGTTTGGCACTATTCAATGATGATATGTGGGAGTACAAGAATTACTGGTATTATAGACTTAATAGTCAAGGCTAGTGACCACTTGCAGGTCTATTGAATGTAGATGCACTAATTGACCCATTCTTATAAATCTTTTTGTTCTATAATAAACCTACAACCACATTGAATTTAAAAATAAACAAAACCAGAATTATCCACTTTATTCCAAGCAAATTACCAGTACTTAAATTTCAATTTTAGTGGTCAGTTTATACTTCAGACTAATATCAACCATTTTGTTGACTCAGTGTATTGTACAAGTGGTTATATGTTACATATACTTAAGGGGTTTGATCAACAGTAATTAAAGATTATAATTTATAACTAAAAGTGATTTGATTACAGATAATGTGTAGATAAAGAGGTTTACTGTGATATTAACAATAATAATATGAATGTAAACTATCCATAATTAGACCAGATGGTTTGAAATCAAATACGAATAAAAATTCAATATTGGTCTTGCCGTGAAAATATGAGATCCTAATATCCAATATTTAAGATATAATGAACATGTTAAAATCAGTACACGAGCGCATATCCTACAAGACAATGCAGAAGTAATTAGTAATGGCTAATTCACAAACGATAAAATCATTAAAAAAAAAGGACTGACTGATCGGGTGTGAACGACTGCTGTTCAATTTGGAATGTTCACATATTTCACCAAATACAATATTGATTAGAATTTCCAATAAAAAATTTAAAAATTGAATATAAATAACTTAATATACATTCATATTACATTGGTATTTGCTTTTTTAGACCTATTTTCGTCTATTTTAAGGTTCAGAAAATAGAGCTATATGCCCTTTAATCTTATTGTTCATGTGATATAAATAGTCATGTAAAATTTGTTTTGTGTGAAGTAATTTAACATAATAGTGAAGTATCATTAAAGGCTCATCATTACAAACTTAACTTCTGATTTCTCTTGATATTGGACTAATAATTTTAAATTATTCTAATGTTGCTAATTGACATTCTTGATATTAAATTTTAAATAGATTGTAAGTAAATTTTTTGAGAAACTAGACTATAATAAATATTTAAATATACATGTATCTCAAGTCTAGGCTGTAATTAAGTATTTATATTGTTTGCAATCAGCCCAGTCAGTTTGTGAAACACATCATTAATTTAGATTAATTACATATTTTGGCAAATATTTTACACCAAAGCTTCAAGCTTTAGAAAAATGCTTTTCTGGTATGTAAATTTACATGTTACGGAAGAGTTAAGTTATAATTTATTAAAGGGAGCAAGACATGTATGTACAGATTAGCACTTGCATATTATCAAATTTTGATCATGTTAAGTTATTTTGAATATAGTCAAGGGATTAACAGAGTGCAATTAGTTTGTTGTATATATTTGACACATATATTTATACATGTATATATATTATTATTTATCAGTACACATTTATTTGTTATGTTGAGTTGGATATTTACTATCTATATAAGGCATAAAATTTCACTTAATTCATGATGTTCGTTCATTTAGCTTTAAAAAGTAATGACCATATTTGTTAATTTTGAAGTTTATATTTCTAAAGACTATATTTGTTAAGTTTGTTTCTGTATTTATAGTACAGAATATAGAGTATTGCAAACACAAGTACTGTAGTTTTATTTTGACTAACATTCCATTTTTGGAATAATTCGTATCTGGATATAATGACCGCAAAATAAATATTATCATTATAAATACTAGTTGTGTTTTTAGTCCATCTTTTCTCTCTGGCAGGCATAAACAAATAGTCATTAATTTGTTAAAATGAATGGGCCAGAAGAGAAGAGATACACTATAGCAGGGCAAATTGAAATGAAATGGGGTTTAATGTCGGGGGAAATTGAAACATTTTGGATTTGAATATCAATTGGTATACACAATTTAAGTTTTTTCAGCTTTTTTTCGTAAACTGCTTGATGGCTTTGAATCAAATTTGGTAGTTATGTTTATTGAATGACACTTGTCAGGAATTTTTCAAATAAAGTTAATACATGTATATACAAACTTAGGATCGAAATCACAAAGCTTGTTCTGATGACAGACCTCACGATTTAAAGCCGGTTGGACCCCAAAACACTGCACTTGATTTTAGGAGTCCAATAATGCACCATTAATGGTTGATAATGAATTCTCATAGAACCTCCTTTTAACTGAACGACTAAAGGAAATATTCAAATCTCAAATGTATAAAACCACACTGGTGAGAGGCAGTTGGAAATGGCTCCCATAAATTCATTTAAAAGATAACCCATGAAAATAATTACTTCTCTGTCTGCAAGTTCTTTCTTGGTAGCGCTGTGATATCCTTTTCATCCCCCCTTTAATCCTCCATGTAGAACTCGTCCGACTAGCATCTCTGGCAAGTTTCTTAGGAAACATTAGTCTGTCATATCATTCATGGTAGAAGCAAACCTAACCCCAATCTAGTAGTAGCAGCAGATACTCAACCAACAAAGTTCTAACAACATATCATTTATTTAATCAATGACACGGTACATATAACATGATTTTACAAAATAAATATTTTTTATAGATCTATAACATTTATTATATATCACATAATAGAAATAAGCATAACAATAACAAGCAAAATAAAAAAATAACAGTAGTAGGCTTCCCTTGGACATAAAATTATAATATTACTGACCATTTTATCATGCATTCCTTGAATGGAACATCAGAATCATCTTTAATCCCTGTACCGGTATATGAAGATGTTTGTGATGAGATTTTTTACAATTTAAAGTTAATATTCTGACTAGTAGCTAAAACAGTAGTTTTGGGTAATACCAGCTTTCACAATATACATGTATTTAAGTAAGCCTATAAGAGACAAAACAAATTGTTAAATCCAGAGTTCCATTTCATGACTCGTATGGTAAAAAAAACGTGAGTTTTCTAACATGTGGTTTATTGTTGATGGGGTGATTATGTGTAGGCTGAACCGTTTAGTGTGTAAAAATACTAAGACCTTTCATAAAATTATCATTTCTGGAAATTTGTAATAAATAACATTATGAAATTATACATATTAGTGCTTTCTTTGAACAGACCAATATATAGTGTGTGCTGGAGAAGAATCCTCTTTTGGTCCAGACTGGTTTATTGAATAACCAATCAGCCTATTACTTTTGAAACCAAATTGCAATTGCAAAAACACCCATACGTTTTGGGAACTGAACAGAACACTAGACTATAGCTGGGATAACAAATATTCTATACCACTAAGACATTGCGCTAATAAAATATATTTTGAATAATAAATATAGAATTTATAATATATATTGTACAAATTTACTCTTTTATCCGAATTTCATCTACATGACAACTCTACTGTAGAAAAATTCTTATTAAATCTATATATTCTATTACAAAATTTAAGTTCAAAAGACTACAAGGAGACTGAATAAATAAAAAATTATATTTTTCTGAATACTCTTACCCCTTGAATTATAAACAGTGAAAATTTTAGATTTTAAGATAATTTGGTCTCATGTGACAGGTATCATGCATGAGGCATAGTATGCTTACTCTTATAGAAACACCTGATATCACTTACCACTCTTCTGTGTCAGTTTTGTGCTACTGAAAATTTTGTATTCATTTAATAATTTTTATACGCCCACATTTTTAGCTTGTGGTCCCTCAGAGGTCACAATTTTTTCTCCAATTTAAAAAAACGTTTGAATATATCACCGTTACATCATGAAAATTCGCAGACAAAATGGCCGCACCTCATACGCAAATATTGTAAAAATATGTAATGCCAAGGTTGTGGACTCTCTGGAAGTCACAATTTTTATCCGATTTTGATGAAACTTAAAATGTATCTCTATATCCCAAATATCTCAGTCCATTTCGATAACTGTCTGGATTATGGCCTCTGATTGTACGAAAAATCGCTTATTTTTTTTCAGCTTGTTCTCAATCCATCTCTTGCAAAATGTGGCTATATCTTGCCTGGCAACCGCTGGGTTTTTTTTTTATGTCGTTCATAACATAACATACAAATACTGTACATAATAGATGCTAAAGGTGATACCAAAGACATAGTGTCCTGAAAACAAAGGGCAAAGAGAGCTAAATGTTCTTCCTATATGAGAAATTATCTAATAATTATAATAGCCAATAGTGAAGTGGCATTCATGGAAGAGTAAGCACACTCAGTATAACATGATTCCTTCACAAAATATAAGGAAAATTACATTCAATATAAAAAGTAAGTTAAAGTAACAGATAAATTCAATTTACCTATACTTTTTTTAAAATAAAAAACAAAACCTCCTTTTTTTTTTAGTGCTTATTGATGATTACATAGAATAAACAATAGTATGAGAAGGACTATAATATACTACCTTTTGCACACAATTATCTTACTAGCATTAGCATCATCAAATATAGGATACCTGCATCTTTGTCATAATAATAACTATGAAATAATAGTAAATAAAATTAAAATATACAAATAAAAGTTTTTTTTATACAAATAATAATTTGGCAATGTTAAAAGGCTAAAAGTATGTATATTTCACTACAAAATATTCAACTTATGTTTGCTAAATTCATTAACAAATAAAAAAGACCAGCTGGCATGGTACTGTTCATTAAGGCTTTTATCTACTGAAACCATATTAAAATTTGGTCAAAAAATATGTAATCCTTTCTAACAAGAATGATCCCATGTTTCTATAAAAATACATGTACCAATCTTCTATATATAATAACTATTACAAAGGAACATTAGAATTATAATGTCACTGATTGAAAGCACGACCCTTGGTGATCATAATTAGATCATAAATAGCTGAGAGTCAGATAGATCATAGAATGTAATACAGTTGATCCCAAAGTTCATCCTTACTTCTTCGGTTACAAATATCATAAATGATATACATATATACCATCAAATTAATGATGACTTTATGAGGTCATCAATCATCAAATCTTGCAGATAATGCAAAATAACAAGTAAGGGGAGATAACTAACTCAACATTTTGGAAGACAAGAACTAGATCATTCTACAAGAATAATAACATTTTTAATATTTACAGTTACATGAGAAGATTTATTTAGTAACTTCTGGACTATCCTCATAAATATATATCTGGCAGTCTTAAGATTCTTTGGCAGATGTGTATGATAAAAATAATGATAATGTCTATATGTACAGCCTACATAATACACTGGCATTTTGAAACTTGACATCAAATATAAACTGTAAAATTATTAAGCAAAAATATGAATTTATTTAATCTTCAATCATATACTTAGCTACCATTTTGGATGTTTAAATAATATCTTCTTCTGCCATCTGTTATCAAAGGTTTCATCTGTTCTTTGAATGTATTATTCTCATTTATCTTCTTCACACCACAGAAACAAGCTGACTGTGTTCTCCTAACAAAAACTTGCACTATCACAGGGACTTCTTTACATACACTAATACCACAGGGTATACATTTCATCCGGTTTTTATTTTTTTAACATGATCTGAAATTGATATAAAAAAGGTTTGTTTGTGAAATATCAAATAAATAACAATACCCTAAGTATGCACCAGGGAGTGACATCGTCGGAAAAAAGCATTATTATTTATTGTGTTCTGAAGTCAAGAAAATGTTCAGAATCAAACTCAGTCAATTATACTGTTCCAATAGATTGGATGGACAGACAGGCAGTCTTAGTCTTATATAGTCCCCCTCTTTCTCTGAAAGGCTGATGGACGACAAATAAAGAATAAATGGACGACAAATAAAGAATAAATACTTGGCCTTAGATTTTTTACATTATCGACTTGTGTGCTGTGTTGATATGAATAAGAAAGATTTGAATCTGTTCAACTTTACAAATATATATTAAGAATGTTTACTTACTGTTATTTTTCTTTCTTCTCAATTTCTTTTGTTTTTCTCTCTTTCTCTTGCGTTTAGAACCTTTATATTTTGTTGTGGGTGTTTTTTGTTGTTGAATGTTGTTTTTGTTGAGGTTATCTTTATTGTCTTGATGTATATCTTTATTAGAATCATCATTCTCTAGTTTACGATCCCTCACACGAACACACTGTTTATTAGGAGATTTACTGTAACCACTTTCTTCATTTATTTCCTCCCGAAAACCATATTTCCAATCAGAATGATCTGTAAAAGAGCAATCACTACTTAACTTATAATGTGGAATACTTCAAATTATAATTTCGACATAGATAATGATTTTTTCTCAGTTGACTAGAAAGTTGTTTTTTCCCAGCCTGATTTTAGTTTGATCAATTACCAAATTAAACTTTTAAAAAAGTCAACAAGATTTTTCAAAGTGATCAAGGGGCATAATTCTGGCTGTCATTACCAGAAATCCAATTGCCTCATGGCCATAAACACTGTGTATCAGTTAAAAGTCAATCAGATGATAACTTTAGCCTCTAGAATGTCCAGACTGATGAACAGATGGGGGATGATGACAATGACCACATTTTAATGTGTGCGTATAAAAATTGTACACTGATGCAGGAAGTTGATTGAATGGAGTAGAACCTCCTTTATAGTGAAATGGATTGAAATAGGGTTCAACGTCCTTCTGGGCATATGCCATACAATGTGCTATATGGGAAATTTTGACCGAACTCTGGTACTATAGCCTACTCTTACTTTGAATTATGTACAAGCCAATGTGTACACATACAGGACCTCGTTTTCTCATATCATCTGAACGACTATACATTGTGCCTTGCCAGGCCCTCCGTCCAGCACTATTGACAAGGGGGAACAACGTCAGAAAATGCCAATGAACTTTCTCGGGATCAAACACAGGGCCTCCAGGTTAGCAAGCCAACATCTTACTCACTGAGTCACCACAGCTCCAAGCTTCATAGTGAAATGAAATGAAATGAAATGGGGTTTAACATCCTACTGTTCAGCTCCAACTGGGCTAATGAAGACAGGCATACACCATAAAGTGTGCTATGAGGGAAATTTTGCCCGGACAGCGGCCCTCCACCCAACTCTTATATTGAATTCCAACCGCCAAGCGTATCTTGCTTAAGTGTCATTGCATACCCTTTTTTGGGTCTGTAAACATTATACCTTTAAACCACTGTAAGAAAATGTTTGCCATATTTTAAATACAAAATGTCCATTCACTAACATTGTTCTTGTATGTTTCCATCTGTGCTCTACTGTCATCACCCTCCCTCCCAATTCTGCATTTTTGCGAAAATATAATCAACATCTTTTTTTTTTAATTGAAATACAACATGTTTAAAACTAGTATGGAATATTCATAAATGATTGGTCTCATGTCATGTCAATTTGTAGGACAGGACCTGGGCAGATAAACCAACTAAAGGCCATACAAGGCAATGTGCCTGACGTGGGATGGTGTGTTTGGGGTGGCTCCAGTGCGTTTTAAGCACCTTTGGCTACATGTTTTGTCAGGTCATGTTTACAGTTTGTGCCACTTGTACCAACTATTTTGGGTGAAGGGATTATTGCGAGATTTTGACCACAGGAAATATTTTGATTTTGACAAAGCCCGGAATGCCGAATTAACCTCTTTTTATGGGATTGTCTCACAAATTACATTATTCTAGCATGTTCTTCAAATGATTTTAAGGGAATGAAAAGGACTTCTAATTTGAGCTTTTACTCCTTTATTCATACTCCCATTACTTGTATTGTCTGGGGGAGTTGGATGCATGGCCGAATGGTTAGCACGTGTGCGCTGTATCATACGGTCTGTCATTGAGTCAACTGGCGTAGTTTCGATTCCCCGTGACAAGGAGTAGGGTTGCCTGTCCAAAGTCGTGGGTTTTCTCTGGGTCCCCCTATGCGCAAGCGACTTATTGAAATAAAATTGAACCATGTGTTAGTCCAGAAATGACCTAGTTTGTGTCGAGCGGATGTTAAACCCCATTTCTCTCTCTCTCTTGTATTGTCTGACAAGTACTATTAGAGAATGCAAGACTGTTGAGATTATGAGATCTGAGAATTGTGTAAAATGGAATGGGTCTTTAAAACTACTGTTCAATGTTCAACAGCATGATCATAACAGATCAATACACACCATTAAAAGCATCAAGTAATATCATGGAACAGCAGCCATATTTAGCACGATACTGTTGATACTGTTTCGTTATAGACAAATCAGCTGCTAACAGTTCAGCTGCTTTTTAACAGAAATAATAACTCTTGGGTAATTTATCAAGTGACCCAATTCTACTTAAACTGTTTTCTTGTCACTCATTCATGAGCTTCAAATATATCGATCAGAAAACCTTACGACCAGAATGTCTGCAAGATCACATCCTAATACAAATGGCAGGATAACACAGATTGATATTATCGACAAGTTAATATGGAAGTAGGAAATCAACTTTTTTTTATTTAATTCATCAATTTTTAATAGACATCATCATGCTTGAATGGTAATTAAACAATTATAGTTTCTGAAGACAAAGAATGCTGAAAGCACAATTTCAGATTTTTTTGCAGTAACTGGTTATGTGTAATTCAACATTTCACACCCCAGTCTTTTACTTGTTTTAATCAAAGATAACACAATGTTTGTGTAAACTGTATTTTAAGCCTTTGTTTTAATTGGTTTCTTACAAGAACACTAGTTACGAAGTTTGGTGCAAAATAAGTCACATTTTTATATTTTGTAATCAAGCAAATAACCCCATTGATTTTTTACTGACCTCCAAAGAAAGAGACGGCATGCTGTCTGTCATAATAAGCAGAAACACATCTGTCCTTCTGGGCTTTCACACTTTCTAACCAACAAACACCGACAGCTAGCGTGATAAACATAACACCCACGCTCGTCATTTTACTGAAAACAAAAACCATTTATCACTCAATTTTTACAATAGAATTCCGTTCAAAAAAAATTCCTGTAAATGTAAGAAGACAAGTTAGACAATCTCTTGTGTAAGCAGTAATTTAGCACGCATTAGAAAAATCATAATTATGAACTATAACTATGATATAACAGAAGCAGAAAGAACAATTATATGAAAGATCGGTATGACTTGCTGTTAGGAGTTTTTATATGTCTGTACATCTGTATATACATTTCTTTATTTTTTTTAGAAGAGAATGGGGCTAAAGGTCTTGTCAGCTTCGCATTGTGAACAGGAAAATTCTAACCACACAATAAACCTTGTTAATTAGATTATTTTTACAATGTTTAAAAGTGTGGGTAAAGAAAATTCAATCATGATGAGGTTTCTATAATCAACACATTTCAACATTCATATCCACCATATAACAGCAATAAATTCTGACCTATTATCTGTTCGTTCATTTAATTACAAGGACAAAATTAGCAAAAGAAAAGCAATAAGAAAGAGAGAAACAGGGTGCAACATCCCCAAAACAATTGCCAGATCATTTAATAGCATTTTACAAGTACAAAGTCAGTGTTGCTATTTTCCAAATGTTCTGTTAGAATAATGATTTACAGACATTTTGAAATTATTGGATTCCATGGCAACTCGTTGGAATAAATTCTAGACTATTCAGAAGACACTATTAAGAAGAGACCATTAAGAAGACCATTAAGAAATAATATTACTTTTTTCTGTATTATGGAATGTTACATAGAGAATAACATAGACTTCAAATAATAGAACAGTAATACTTTATACTTTAATAAATATAAACTTATTACCCTTATTGATTCATGTACCATGAAATATGGAAGGGTTAATTCAGTGCTATTATTTTATATTGACTTGTTATGTCTATATCACAAAATAGTGTTTCAATCTCTATATACTAAATACAATGCCGTATAAACACGACAAGTACCTAAATACCCACCACTTTTAAAAACAGTACAAAGGACAAAAAAGGTTCTTATCATCCAATGATCCACTGAAGATTTAACAGATCTGTAAATAATGATGATGTTTCATAGTTAAAGGGGAGTTTGTTCTTCGAGGACTCGCGATCAGATGACGGTTTCTAGAATGGGGTCGCAACCAACAAAAGGTTGGGAAGTACTGCACTAGTAGATGGAGTCCATTGGTCTGACCATGCTCACATCGCTTTTTTGCACATCTGAGATTTTTTTGTGGGGGGCTCCGTGCCCCATGGTTAATCAGGCGCTGCTACCAATAAAGCAGACACACATGCAGGGATGGGGACGAGTGTGTGTGTGTGACAAGTGTTGTGTACGAAGCCAGATACGCTTATTTTTTATTGAACACCTATACACTATGTCACTATGAGTTTTACTAGGCATTATGAATTGATTTAGGTATTCATTATTATGTTAATTGAAATTAATGAAAGCTTTTTGTCTAATATTCAAAAGCAATCAGAAGAAAAGTATCATATACTGATTTTATAAAGTCGAAATTTCCATCATTTCATTCTGATACTTCGAACATCTCACCCCCACATCCTCTCTACCTCCCTCTAACATCCCACCCTCACATTTGTACCAACAACCACCTAACATCCCTACCATATCTGACCCTCAACCACCAGACACCCCTCCCACATTTCACCACACAACCACCAGACATCCCTGTTACATCTCACACCCACATTCACCAGACATCCCTCATACATCTACACACAAATTGTTACAGGTTTGTCTGTTATAATTGTTTTCAAAGATTTAATTCAGCACTAGACTATTAACCAAATTCTTATGGAATGTTTATTTTAATAAAATACAGTATTTTACCAGGTACTTAGATATCACTGATCACAAAAACATTAGAAAATAAAGAGATAAATCCCTGGCTTTATCGTAATTATAAATGTTCAATCAATACAATTTTATTTATAGGAAAGGAATAACACGAAATCAGATTACTTGTTTATGACAAAAACACCATACAGGATCTATGAATATATTTAACAAGATATGAATTTCATCAATATAATGCCTCTTAAACATCGCAATGTAACGCTCATAATTACAGAGACAAGGTCACGTAATGGCCAATGTGTCGAGAAAACCTGTTAATAAAAGTCGGTGACAGACAATGGTTAAAATAATGGTGAATACCTCCAGTGATAATATCTGTAACAAGTGTATAAATGTTAGGTATAAAAGTCATTTACGAGGATGATATAAACAGAACAAGTGAATGTTGAAATCAATAATCTCGTAACAACTTTGGATCAGGTAACACATTTTATATATGGAAATCAAACATAATACCACAATTAATAGTCTGATAAAAAGATAGGTTGCCAAAGAATCAAGTCTACCAGTAGCCAATATGTCCAGGCCATCCAAAAAGTTTGTTTATGTCTAAAATTGGCCATGTGAAAATCTCTAGTTATTATCAAATTGAATTTTTTACTTAAATACGCCTGTCATGTACTGCCACCCGTCTATTATTCTGTCCATTCACAATTCTTGTTAACACCTATTGGTTGTTCTAGGATTGTCTAAATGATAATAAGAATGAACTTTATTGAAATTTATGTTCTGGTCATGCTGTGTATTTATGCAAAGTTATTGCCCAATATTGACGAAAACATATTCATGTAAACGTTCTACAGATGACAGTCTCTAGAGAAATTATTGCCTGAGATCACCAAGTAGCCAATCCTTACAAAGCTACGACTGTTAAAGAGGCATTATGTGATAGCTAAATTTGCATATTGTTTGGCATTTTTCTGGCTTGTCATGTTTTTATTTTGTAAAATTCAAATACTTTTCATATATATTTAGCCAGGTGTGCCGCTATTTTTTCATGTGTTCCAATGTGTGCCATTGGCAAAAAAAGGTTGAGAACCACTGATTTAGACATTTATTCACATGACAAGCCCATCATCAATCTGATTAAAATACATATCTATATTTCGTTTCATTTTTTTCTTATACTTTCGATGGCCTATACTACATAAAGATCTGACCAGTTGTATTGGGAGGTCGTGTCAGGGGTCGTATGAGCAGTTTTTGACCCTATGACGTCAGACATTGATTAATCAATCAGTGTTGACATTTCTAGTGGTTTACCCACATTCTGTGCATCGCACGCCAAGACGCCGCTGTAACAGATGGTTTCATTGGGTAATCCCTAACATCATCCAGAACGCAGGTTATATAACAACTCTTCCAGATCCTAGTGTAGTACAGACAAATAAAATGGAATTTTGAACTATAAAACACGAAACGAAATAGGATCTGTGTTTTAATCAAGGGGGGGTGGATGGCTGAATGGTTAGCGTGCGCGCGCTGTATTATAAAGTCTGTCATTGAGTCGACCGGCATGGTTTCGAATCCCTGGTTGTACGTGGCAAGGAGTTGGGTCGCCTGTCCAACCTTGTGGGTTTTTCTCCAGGTCCTCCGGTTTCCTCCCACTGCTAAAGACCCCTACGCGCAAGCGAATTATGTAAATAAAATTAAACCATATGTTTGTCCCAAAATGACCTAGTTTGTGTTGAGTGGAAGTTAAACCCCATTTCTCTCTCTCTCTCTCTCTGTTTTAATCAGATTGGCCCATCATAAACAACTCTCTGGGCAACTGGGTGGCTTGGCTATTGAATAGATTAATTAGACAATGCTCTGCCATATCTGCCTTAAACACTAAAGCTGACATTTTCTGGTAATGCATAAGTCACTCCGTGTGACAATGTGGTCAGAGTTTCCGTCTGCCAAATAATCGCTAAATCATGACAAATGTCGAAGACCATTTATGGCAATTTCTTGTCACAACTTCAAACATTCATTACTTCATTGTGAATAAAGTAATTTGACTGAATTCTTAATATATTCATTTTTTCATTATCTGTTTTTGAACTATTGTAGCAAAAGACCTGCTCTTTACATCACAACTTTTGTTGTATCATATGTACTATGTCTGTATATGTATGCTGTCCATAATGGATGTTTTGATGCAATAAACTTCTTTAATCTTTGATTATGTAAAATTGGTGGATACCAACATTGTCCATTACAGATTCTTAATCAACAAGTAATAATCCTATAACTACATGTAAGTCCAAAGAATATTGGTGAATAGAGATATTATTAATACTGAACTTGGAGTGTTATATAATAAGGATTCTTCCACCTACAACTACTACGTTTAGTAAGAAGTTGATTCGTCGCAGTCTTGGAATTACTATAAGGATAGGTGACATCTTTGATTGGTTTTTACATGCGATTGCGTCGAGCTGTCAGGGCTTGTATATTGACAGTCGTCATCAGCTGATTTAAGTTTTAAGGTCAACATACATGTCCTCCATTATGATTTCAGGTATATGTGTGGGAGTTTGAAACATAGACTGCCAGGCAAGGAAACATACACTCCTATCAGACGCTAAATTTTACGAGCAGTTATGCGCTAACCACATAAAAATTTCAAAAAGATTGTATCATAACTAAATAAACTAAATTGTTTTGGAAAACAATCACTGGTTTATTATATAAGCCATGCACACACCTATCACAGACATTGTCAAACACAAATTCAGTCTTTGTCAGGCACAAATCCTTTGGTGTCTGTCATTTTGTCTGGCACAGATATGTCTACTTTGGGTGTTTATAGTGACATTTTTAACATATGCCCGGTTCAAAGTCTATTAGTGCTTGACAGTTTGTCAGATACAAACTAAAATGATTATTTCCAAGCTTGATCTAAGCACAACGTTTCGATAAGTATCTTCTTATTGTTATCTTATAATTATACTAGACAGATTTATTGACTAAAATTGAATGCCTCAAGCACTACTAGACTTATTAATGAATGAGAAATCTATTCCCTAACATTATAATAGCAGAACAAAAATAGCTCTCAAACCTGACTAATGAATGAGAATTAAAACTAAAGTAGATGCTTCAACTATACCTAACAGAAGTCTGCCGACCTGAATTTAATATTTGAAGTAATCAATTTCCTTCTAGGCACATTTCAATGAAAACGCTAATCTTCTATACAGGGTTGGATTATAAACCATTTAAAAACAGCTTACACTGGTAACAAAATCCACCAGTTCTCTCCTACTAACTTCCTATTCTGGGTTACTATATAAACAATTAATAAATTACAGTTTGGGGTAGGGACAAGATATTGTGGATGGGGGTGGGATGTTAGTTAACACTAAAATCATTATCAACAAATCATGCAACTGCAAGGTCAGTTTCTAACCAAAAATTCACTATGAATTTTATCCCAATTTATGCTCAAATGAATGTTCTCAAAAATTTTTAAAAATTTCGTTGAGAGCTAGAATAAACTGGAACTTAAACAGATGGACAGCTGATTTGTAAAGATTCTAAAAAGAGAGAAGGAGCAATTTAACAGAATTTTTTGTGTCAATAATGTAAACAACATATCAAAATTTGTAAAAGATCGCATGATAAATGTAGTCTGAAGAGCATATAAGATTTCCTATGTTATGTGATAGAAGAATACTGAATCATAATAGGGGACTTCGTAATGACCCAATGAATTTGAAAAACATCTATTAAAGAACTCAGATCAGTAAGGTGTTCACAAGAAATTATGCAAATCTGCGTCTACATGTCGGCTTATAAAACTACTAGGACATATTTAATTTTTTCATAATTTCATACTAATGTTATTAGCTTAGGATTATGAAAGAGTGAAATAATAAATTGTTTTACTCATAATTAATTCTTTCTGCAGCTCAACTATTTACGGCTGATGGAGTTAAATGATTCAATACACTTGAAACCAGAAGAAGATATAACTAGAAGATGTTTATAAAAATCAATCCGATATAAATATTCTATTAATTACGGTACAGTAATTTAAATTTTTACAGAGAAAAAACAAACAGAATAAGCTTATCACATTTTCAATATACTGGAAAAACATGGAAGATGAAGACAGATGAAGTACTAAGAGATGTTATTGTAGAAAATATTAGTCTTGTTAATCAGGTCTCTTGTTGATTGAAAGGTTAATGTACATTACATGTTCTAACGCTTACAAAATTTCATTAACGTAAAACTTGACAAATAAAGTATAACTGAATACCAATTGCCGAGTCAGTATAATGAAATTCTCCCACATTTCTGTCACCATAAAGGTTACTTGAGCGTAAGTGTCAAATAAATCTTTAGAAACTGTCAGACATACAATTCCATTAATCTAGTTCACAAAACCTTATAGAAACTGACATGAGTATTGGTTGGAAACCAGGGATATTTACAAAAGTATGTTAAAACCAACATTTCAATATTCATAGATAAAATCTCTTAGATTTCTGTTCCATCCTGCTCTCCAACCTCCCCGTATAGTTAGGGCTGAGTGACGCTGAACCCCATATTTAACTCTCTCTTTAATACATTGTGCGAATGTGACTTTAAATTGGCTCTATGATACGAAAAAGGTTTTATCAAATCCCTGTAAAACAGGTAAATGCGTTAAGAAGTCGTCTGGCTGTCCCCCATAGAGACCATGTCTATGTCAGGCCAATGAAAGACTTGGGTTATCAGACAATGCTTTTCAAGGATGGAGATATAACTTAGTTGGTTGAGCTCTGGACTGCCATAGGATGCGATCTGGTGCGGTATGTCAGGGGATTGAAATTTGAATCTGATTCAAATCAGCACTAACTCGAAAACTTTCTCTGTATAAATACCTATACTTTTGACATCTACAATATAATCTTGTTTACATCTATATATCCTACAGATTAATTTTATATTTCTTCAAACATGGGCAATCACAAGTACATTAGGGTGTGCTAGGATATTGTACATACATGTATAGTAAATTATTTTCAAAATGGCATTACCTTCTTTGAATCTGACATAGCTTGTCCTATCACTAATCAAATTAACACAACAGATCCACCAAAATCTAATACTTCAATTTCCTTTAATAAATCTGGTTGCTACTTATCAACATCTCCTCGTTTTTAGTGCAATTGTGTCAGGGAAGAGTTGGATGGAACCAGAAGGAACAATCTGTTATCTTTTTTCCTATGTAATAAAATATTTCATCACTTAGATGTGTAAGTCTCCAATTGCAGATAAAACTATCATCTGGTGTATCTGATAAGCCAATGTAATAATTGATATACACCATATTTTACCGGCATGTTAATCTGGTGTATGCAGTATGCACCATGTCATTTCTTAAACATTATCTAGTATACAGATTAATCACATCTTTGTAAAATTTCCAGCCAAAAGTCAATTTGGTACACATCATGAGCATTATTAATTTCTATCTGCTGGTTGATTCTTTCCAAAAATGTTAATTAAGAGAAATGTTCATCACTCACCATCCAGGGCATCATAAGTTTTAACATTTTCAATTTTTTTAAAAATTCTAATCAAACATTGCACATATTACTTTCTCACTAGATGGAAAAAAATAATTTCAAAATTAGGGGGCGACCTAAAACTCCAGGAGTCACAATTTTTATCATAATGTATTTTACACTGGCAGCTTTCTTCCGCATCCTTTGGGATTTCCAATCAAGAGAAGATTATAAATCTATTCAATTAATTATAACGGCATAGGTACTACTATAGTCTGCACTAACAATTCTTTTTTAATTTAAATATATGCGTGAATCAACAATAAATCCAAACTTTCAGAATAAAATATTGGATAGTCATTTCTCAAGAATTTTGATAAAATTTGAATTTTTACCATTCAAGGAATTCTATAGTATATTATGGGCTAATTATATATAATGGAACCACAATTTCCTTAATATTTCTTTAATTTTTATAATTATCAAAAATTCCTCCAGTGAGTTTTTAGATAAATTCTGGAGTAATGTTCATTCAAAATTCAAAAAGAATTTCTCCCATAAAAAGTATCTGATTTTTTTTAAGTAGCAGAAAATTATCCTATTTTTTAGAAATGAGTTGAGGCAAGTATGTTGAGTGCATTCTATCTTTATCTAATGGAGATTTCTTAATGAATATCAACACAAATTCCAGTACTTTTTACATTGAGCTCTTGACCTGATACACAATGGTACATGTAATATGATTGAAAATACCTAGATTCTTTAAAATAACTTTATGTTCAGACAGTTTATCCAATTCCAGATGATAGCAGATGCCCTGATTAGAATAAACACTGCACTATTTAAAATAGCTAACAAAATTATACATTTATCTTAAAGCTAAATTAAACATCTAACTCTTTGAGAGAAATTCTTACTAAATACAAATGTTATCAGAAAAAATCTGGCCATATTTATACATTAACTTATAAAACAGATCCACAATTTAAACATATAAAATGAAGTGTATATAGCCATTTGAACTTTAAGAAGATTGTTCAAGACTTAGGTTAGACATTTTTTCAAAATACTAATCTGCTTTATGATGAATCCTTTGCATATCTAATTTTCTCAAGTACTTCTTGTCTGGAATTAAGTTAATCTGTTATTTCGATTCACAGCTGGATCCAGACTCTCTCATTTTGTTAACCAAATTTTTAAAGAGAAGAATCTGATAGACAATGACTATTGCCAATTTCTCTTGAGATTAAAATAAATCAGACTTATACAGGACAAGATCTTTGTCTTTTACACAGCTAAATCTCTACCAATGTCCATTTACAACCTACCGTAATCTCCCTGTTCTCATTCCAAAATATCCTTCAATAACAACAACTCACTGGATCCTGTAATCTCTACTAGTTGCCCGAGAGAATAATATGAAATCAGACAGGAATTATAGATATAGATGTATCAGTGTTTTTGACAATGATGAATCTCATGTCAATACTTATCTAATTATTAATGTCAGTTGAGAGAGCTTAAAGCTAAAAAAAATCTCCTTACATGTAAATACACGTACAATTTAGACTCTATACGTAAATAATAAAGAGAGATATTATTCTCTTTGACAGACAGAATTCTTTATCTGATGTCATATAGTGGTACTTACATTAGCTTATTTCTAATGGAAGTGCCTTGTAGTTCATAATATATATTTCTTCTTAAAGAAGCATTAGTGGGTTTAAAAAAAAAAATTCAATTTGATATACAGTTACATTAGGCATCTTCTAATTAGACTGTATGCTAAATATACCTGTACACTTTTTAACTTTTAAAATACAATATTGTGAAAGATGAATCTCTAATAGGAATGTCAGTCCAAAAATAGTTCAATTCCATTCAGTCTTTACAAAGTATGTTAAATTGAAATTTCATCGATCTGTGTTACTCGTTATGTAATAGGCCTGTATCCATTTTGTTGTGGGCAAACAAGATTGATAGACCTATTTTAAATCCGATTGAATTCAAGTCATGAGGTTATCTAGCTTTTGTATTTTGATTTTGTTTTCTTAATTAAATGTTAATCAATCTAAGTACTAATTGTGGTTTTGATGATTAAGGGACTTTTAAAGATACATTCCCGCGTACAAACTGGGGGATTTAATGGTATATATCGACTAAAAACATATTCAAACTAATTAATTTGTCATAATTTTGCTTCAAATCCTTCTCAAACATTGTAATTGCGAAGGAATGCTCTGCTATAAAAATTCGATCAAACCAGGTCATGTTTACGTCACGTGACTTACCTCTCTTGGAAGTCAGAGGAGAATTCATTGCATACATAAGACGATGTTGTCTTTAATCGCTTACTATTTATTACAAATATCGAATCCTAATTAAATTCTCAGATTATCCACTACCCGCATCTTTTTCTGTCATTTTTATCTCAGAAAGTGTTGTACGTCTAACTCTTCATAAAGTTTATCAACTTGTACATCAAGCGCTCAATGTTCGCGTGTGACCTTTGACATCACGCATGCAGAAATTCCTAATCGTCAGGCTGTCGATTTGGGGAACCCTTACATTTTTGCCCTGTATTATGCTCCATGAAGGTTTTTACAAAACAATTACAAAATGAACATAAGTTAGCAGAATGTGCCACTAACACACAGCCTGTTTAAGCATTTATAAGTACTTTGAAATATAAAGGAAATCATTGTACAATATGAGATGGTTTGGTTTTAGTCATTAACCTAACTACATAATTTTGCACTATTTGTAGTTGATATGTGAGGAACAACAGAGAGCAAAGAATTGAAAATATCCAGTCTTGATGTGATATACAAATTGATTCAATTTTGTTGCATCATTTGTGAGAAATTTTCTAATCAGATGAATTTTTCTAATATTAAACTTCTATCCATACCCATATGTTCTATGAATAGAACCCCTATGTTCCTGGCTGATGAAGATGGAGTACAGAATTTGATTGTCACTAGGGGAAATCAACTTGATTTGTAGGTCACTTTTTGTAGCAGTTGCTCAGAGCCAATAAACACATATTCTGACGCTACTTCATTTAGAATTTAATTTTCAAGCCAATTACAATTTTCATATATATCAAAATAATAATAGAGCAATATTCAACAAATTAATTGTTATTAGTTTGATGTAAAGCAGAAATGATTCAAGGCTACCCTGTCTGATCAAATAATACAATCTGTGATGTAGTTTTATAAAATGTAAATGTTTACACAGAACTTCACATATTGTATATTAAACCTACAATTTATACACGGTAAAAATGTAAACATGATGTCAGATGAAAGCATTTAGATTCATCTGCATAATATTAAGTGAACTACAATGCTTGACAATGATTAATTCTGGACTTAACACCAGGTTTTCTATATTTTAGCCAACTTAACCAGACAAGATTTAAAATTCCATAGAAAACCAGGTGGTTAGTTATGCTATTATTTGGTCACATACATTAGTAGATGGAACTCAGAACTTGCATAGTTGACATTATGCCACTGAAAATATGCCAAAAATAATACACCACTGTGTGACTAACAGTAAAAACTCTTTTCCATATCAATTTTACAATTTCGTCGTAATTATTTCCAAGTTTGGGTTAGTCTTGTTCAAAATAAGTTCTGCTTCCAAATAACAAATCCTTTGAGTTTCCAGCAACTGGACTATTAAGACTTGATTGAAGACTTCACACTTATACTTGGCTGTCCCAAAGGGATGTCAACCAGCTGATCCCATGAATCTGAACTTTTAAAGTATCAATATTGTTATTAATTTCTAAAACCATCCACACTGTGCCTTTGCATGGAGTTTTTAACATGCTACATTATGGTCATCTGCAAACTTTCTGAATCGAACAAAACATCCACATTTCTAAAGTATTTGAAAACTAATTTTTAAACTGGTAAGCTACGAATATAATGTTTCTTTACTAAACAATAGGCCTACCATGGAAGCATATGGTGTCCATTTTATAATCTCAACTTCTCACAGCGAGAAAGCAAGAAGACGAGGGAGCACCAGCCATGTAAGTGCAAGAAGATCATGCTAAGATCTGATTTTTTACACTATAGCAACTTTTATTCTTTTAAATATGAAAATCTTTCCCCGATAAAATTTGGGCTTTTTTAAGGAGAGGGAGCGGGGGATTTCCTTGATTCCTACATTACCATTTGATGCACGTAATGCTTTCTTGCACAGAGTTCATGTATTATATGCAGTATTTTTTAGGATTATGCAAGTTTATTCAAATACAGATACGGTTTCATTTTTTTTATATAGCTGTACCACCGAATAGTGATACTAATTTTAATTTCTTTTTCAAATGTTATTTAAAGAATGCATAATTTATTTCTTAATATTTTGATTTAAAGCTCTTAAAGTGATTGCCTTAAGCAAGAATGGTCTTGACTGTACTGTTAGTGTTTAACGTCTGTTTCCACCGAAGGTGATATCGAAGACAAGTTGTCTTATTTTCATTTTTATTATCTTAGCACTAGCACATGTGCAGGGGCCTTTCATGTGGAAGGAAACCGGAGTACCCGTGGTAAACCCTCGAGGTTGAGAAGGCACCCCTATCTCCAAGCCACATACACTCACACCACTGATCGAAACCACAACCGCAAGCCAGAGGTGACCGGACAGCTAGTGGTCAAAGCGCAACACACTAGATCATCCCCCCCCCCCTCATATAATCTTTGGTGCCAATAGGCTTATTAAGAGACACCTCAAGAAAGGTTTAGAGAACTAACAATACAGTCAGATCAGTGCCAAGCAAGTGTCAATGCTTTTACTTTATTTATGGCTTAAAGCTTATTAATTGATTCTGTTAATTCTATTTAACTATAAAACTTTAACCAATGAAATATATATATATATATCTATATTAATTTAACTTCTTTCATTTGATTCGTTACAATATATTTTTTATCCCTAATTTTATCTTTAATCTGATTTGTTGAAATGGTTGTCCTTTTGTCTGTATGCAAATTATTTTGTTTAAAAGACCCCTACAACAATCAGACATGATATGATCAAAGAGGGTTACAGGAGATGAGATGAGATGAGAGATAGGAGATACGGTTAAGACATTTATTAGCCCTTTGATATGATCTTGTATATAATGTATATTTAAATGTATATAAAGGAATATTAAAACAGACTTGGAATTGTACTTATTCATGAACATTGACCACCTTCACCAGAATTTTGCTCATTAGTAATGAGTTACACCCACCCCTACTCATAACTCGTCCACATGTATCACCTGGGTGCTTATTCAAACAAAGAATAACCCCCAAAAACATTGGAGATAGTTGGATTTTGCAGTCACTACAGTAGATCTGTAAGAGTTTTTAAAGAAACAGTGTTCTGATTGATGTGGGGTATTAGCTTATGAAATGGTCTATTTAGTCGAGCTTTGAGCGAGGTATGTTCATAATTCTAAGAGTCACTTATTAAGCAGTTGCAATAAAAAAAAAAAAATTCAATATATATACTTTACATCATTCAGTGAAAGATCTCCTATAGGAATTCTAACATGTCCTTCCCCACAAGTCAGTTGTTAATGAAATGGAGCCCATCAAAAGTGTACAGATGTGTATTTTAATCAGATATATGATTATGTGTCTGATGGAAAGTAGGAAAGAATTGAGCAATACCTTGTTATTGACTGAAACAGACAACCCTGAAAACAATCAAATTACACACCCAACAAACAATACCAAATGTAAATGATTGATTATCTCTGCGAAGGAGAGTACTTTCACACAACTCTTGTTTTTACAAACGGACTCCTATTTTTACAAATGGCACATATTTTCTGATTACTTCCACTGCATCGTAAACAATTACTGTACAAATACATCAGCATTGCACAACATTTTATCACCATAACAAAGATTTTGTAGAGATAACATATGAATGAACATGCAGTGTTAAAATAAACATCACAATGAATTCTAATGAAATGAAACATTGTAATTGTAATTTGTGTATTTTTTTTCTGATGCTTCAAATGCATTTTGAGAGTTCCCATGGGTAACAATTTTTTTCAAAAGTATTAATATGAAATCTGTTGTGGTACTCTCCTGGTGGCTCCATGCCTCACTCACTGATTTTTTAGTGTTATTGCGAAAAATGTTGATAGGAATTGTCAAAGAAGAACGTCAGTGAGTCTGTTAAGCTTCAGGAATTCATATATTCCCAAAATACCTGAATTTGAATCAAGTATAATTAACCAAAAAACAATAATAGTGCGTAACAGAAATTTAGATTTTTGACATCATCAATCTACCACTAAACAACTACAACAATAAAAACTAGAAAAAAAACCCTGAGATCATTCAGCCATTTAAAATCAATATTATCATTTTTCGATACGCTTACACAACCAAGAAAAACTCAATACCTAATCCTTTCTTATTTATCAATGAAAGTTAATAGTAATTACCAGAAATTACTCACGCCACGGTTTCTCTCATCTTAAACTCTACAGTGTATTTAGACCTGTTATAATGTGTATGTGAATATTCTATAACATTAACTACTAACATCAAAGTAATGTGTCAACCTATCACACAAGATAAATCTGTATTATGATTAGAAATAACAGGAATTCTACTGGGAAAATATAGCTTCAATGAAAGCTGAAACCCAATATAAAGAGTCCCGAGCAAGCAGACGGCACTTCAGATTTTATATGGTTGATCATAAAATAAATCAGAACTAACCTTGTGTCTTTCTGTGTTTCCAGTCTCAAAAATTAACCGATGCCGATACCATTTAGGAAAGCTGAATTTTTCACATGAAGGCTTGAAGACTTAAGAAGAATAGAATGGTTTCCACTTGCTCCTCACTGACAGAACTGACTATATTGCGGGTAACGTGGATATTGATTGAACTAACATACATTGGACAAAAGGTTTGATCAACACATCTAGGCCATATCAGCAGTCGATCATAGCTTCATTGATCTTACAATACCTATATCAAGCTACAATCTAACTGTGAAGCTTATCATAAACAATTACAATAATACTCTAATGATCTCAGAGTTGCTGAATGTCAACGGAGAAAGACACTGCCAGTATACTGGTGTCATATATTTAATGTATGATGCAAGTGTAGTATGTAGCATTATGAACTAGTCCAACTTATACAAATTAATTCTGATTCATGCCACAAAAGATTTATTGATTTTCTTAGACATGGATAAAGATTTGGATTATTGGCCTACTTTCTTTTTGTTCTTGTAAATTAAATATTTCTGTAAAAGCACCAAATGAAGTGCTAAAAATAATCTTTAAGCAACTCAAAATAATTTTTCTTTCAGACAGGGGTAATCAAAATTTTTTTGAAGTATTTTAATTGATAATGAAGGAGGGGATGATTTATTTTATGAAAACAGAAAGGATTAAGGAAGCAAATGTTATTTCCTTTTGGACTTAAGCTTTACTTTATTCATTCATCAACCATAATTGCACAATGATAAAGAATATGACATTCAGTAACAGTCTAGACAGTGTAGCCACATTTTTAATATGTTCCCTCAAGAGCCTAACTAAATGCATAACCATGGATTGGAAAATATTTTCAAACTACAGAGAAAAATATATTTGTTGCTTAAAAAATGATATTGTTTGAGCTACCAAAGTTTGAAAAACTATACAATTTAATAGTCTAAAACTACTGCCATTGCGAGGAACAGCAATTTATAGCCTAAAGCTATCCCACAAACGTGATCCAATTAACATGTATCTTTAAAGATACATTCTAACGAAAGTATTTATCAGGAGGTTATTTGCAATGAAAGTATGGCAAATTTGGTATACATGGAGTGTATAGACACCCAATCTTACTAGAAAAATACTGGATTACCTAAAAAAAAGCACTAGGCAAACATGTCAGGGTATCACTAACTGGCAACCTGACAGCTTATTGTCTGCCAGCGGTTGTTATTTCTTAATCGAATGGTTAGGCAGTTTTGCAAGGGGTGTAAACGCATAACAGACTTTTCAATTAAACGGCAGAAAAAGAAGTTGGCAGAAAATAATTCAATTTTATTTCAATCAATCGCTTGTGCGTAGGAGTCTTTAGTAGTGGGAGGAAACCAGAGGACCCGGAGAAAACCCACGAGGTTGGACAGGCAACCCTACTCCTTGTCACGTACAAGCAGGGAATCGAAACCACGCCACTTGACTCAGTGACAGAACTTCTGATGCAACACACACACATTAACCATTCGGCCATCCAAGCCCCCTATGGTAAATGGACAGAAAGTAATGACAAATACATTCTGAAAAATGGGCCTTCCCCTCAATCAAGTTAGGTGATAAACATGTCTTCTAAAAATAGATTTTTTATAGCTTGGGGTATCTCCTTGCGGATGCAAAGTTTTGAGAGGGATTTGGAGCATATTTTTGATAGATTAATTAGTTTGAATATGTTTTTAATTCAAATGTATCATCAATCTCAGTTTGTATGCGGGAAGGTATCTTTAAATATGCAATGATAAACACCCATAAAGACTCTACTATTATTATGCAATTTACCTAAAAAAAAATAACTAGAGTGACATTTAAAATATCAATCTGATTAAAATACAGATCTATGTTTTGTTTCATTTTTTCATACTTTCGATGACCTCTACTAAATGAAGATTTGACTGGTTGTAGTGGAAGATCGTGTCAGGGATAAAACAAGCAACTTTTGACCCTATAATCAATCAGCGTTAATGTTTCTAGGGGGTTACCTGTGCACCTAACACCAAAAACTCGCTGTAACAGACCGTTTCATTGGCTAATTCCTCACATCATCTAGAACACAGGTTATATAACAACTCTTCCAGATCCTAGTGTAGTAAAAACAAGTAAAACGAAATTTTGAACTATAAAAAAAAACGAAACGAAATAGGATCTGTGTTTTAATCAGATTGTTTAAAAAATGTAATTAAGATAAATATGTTTTACATGATATTTAGTAAAAGTACATGCTGGAAGCAAAGAAGAAAACAAAACCCCTCTTATTTCAACAAAGGCATATTTCTACTGTAGTAATATTCTGTAGATTATCCCTAGAAGAAATGTCAATGTTTATGAGAAATATTGCTTTTAATTTGTGGATTTACCCAAATCTAATATTTCTGTTTATGAAAGTTGCTCAGAATGCATCCCAGTTATAAGTAGGCTTTTCCAGGTTCAAAGTGATTCCAAACTCCACATTGAGATCAATATAAATTCATTATCATTATTATTAGGCACTTCTTCATTACAATTTTTGGGTTATAAACATGTATTTCAAGTTTCATCAAAATCGGATCAAGATTGTGTCCTCTCTCTAGAGGGTCCAAAATCTTGATATACCATATATTTACAATATTTGCGTACAAGGGGCAGCCATTTTGTCCGGCAGTTTTGGTCCGATTCTTTCGATATTCGCACATATCGGATTGTAACTTCCTGAATTATGGCCCTTGATTTAACAAAAAATCACGTTTTTAGCTTGTAGGGTCACATTTTTTATCTGATTTAAATATATCACCATTACACACTAAGATCTTGGTCCCTTTTGATAATCATGGATACCCAAACTTAACTTCCTGGTGTATAGCCCCTGATTGTTCGAAAAATCAATTTTTAACTTGCGGATTCTCTAGAGGTCACAATTTTTTTCTGATTTTCAAAACCGTTTAAATACATCACCATTCCACCATAATGAAGGTTGAATTAGTATTTCGGGAAGATCAAAATAAAACGACAAAATTTGTACGCAAATTGTGTAGATGTGTGTAATACGAAGGTTGTGGACCTTCTAGAGGTCACAATTTTTATCCAATCTTGATAAAACTTAAAACATATCTTTTTATCCCAAATATCTTTATCCCTTTTGATATTTGCACATTTCAGGCCATAACTTTCTGGATTATTGCCTCTGATTGAACAAAAAATCACGTTTGTTTTTAGCTTGTTCTCTATCCATCTCTTGCAAAATGTGGGTGTATAATTGACACAAATCTAATCCTACATTGACTATATGGCATTCTAATTATAGTTTGAATACGAAATGAAAGATTGGGGTTTAATTTCACATTTAACAAAACACATACGGCAATTGGCGACTACTAGAAGTCAACTTATATTCATTATAATGGTGATGTGTGCTCCCCTACAAATGTTTTAGTGTGTGTGAGTTAGTTGTATTTTACATCCGCTTCCACCGAAGTGATATCTGTTTTAGCAGATGTGGGGCCAATGGCCCAAATTCTTTTAACTATATAATGATAAATGTTTGGTGGCTAAAGAAGTTTTCCAATGATCGGAGAAAGAAAGCATTTTAATAGCAAAATGCACCCAAGACTGTTTCACTACCTAGACCTTGAAAATGTGTTTCTAATAGCTAGGACTAGAATTATGAACAAAAAATGTTCAAAATTACACAAATTTTCAAGCCTTGGTCCTATGAATTGTGGAAGTGGTGCCGAAGGCGTAAAATATGAGTCGTCAATGGGAATGAGAACTGCAAATTTATCCTGGGGCCTTCTGTCACTGACCCCAAAATGATACTTCTACTCAGAGCTGAGGACAGAATTGTAAACTTAACAGTAAATAAAACAGGTTCAAAATCACAAAATATTTCAGAGACATAGAATGATAGATATTTGGTTCCAAGGGGGCGTCAAAGGTGCAATATATCAGTTATGAAAGGCAAAAAGAATTTACAAATTTTTAGATCAAAAGGTGCTCAAAATTGCAATTTCCCAGACCCCCTACTGAGGAGCCATTACAAAATCTTGACCCCCAGCCCCTGCTGTAGCTGTAGTCAGAATCCTATCAAGTTGAAACTGGGCTAGAATAATAAAGAAACTGCTTACGTTCTATATATTAGTTATCAGCTAACTAATAATTAAGCCATATTTATTATCATTTCTACATTCAAGGATAGATGAAAGATATTACAAACAATCCTGTCTTTTTATTAATCTTTAAATGGCATTTAGTAACTGGATAGTAGTGGATAAGGTTAAAAAATAACAAAACACATATTTATGGAAAACAGCTACCATTGTATTTAAAGTAGCTAAGTCTCTAACTCAATATCATCCAAAGTCTTCAACATTGAAAACACAAATTATTTGTCAATTTAAATCAACATTGGTGTTGTTATCGTATCGTGAAAAGATGGGCTTCTGATATCCAATATTTAAGACAAAACAAATGAATTGTGTACCATAATGTGTTTCAGTGCCATTTGTAATAAGGGACTCAAAGAACGAGGCTAGACATATTCCACAAGTCATGTCAAACGGTGAGGCCATATTCTTATCTGGTTAGCATGCACAATAAATACTATTGGTGTAGACTGGAATAACCAGACACTAGAGATTGCCGCATTCGATTGACACTTCTGGCGTATTTCGCCGACCATAACTGATTTGAAATTAGAGTAAAAACAGTACCGATTGAATGTAAATCAGTTTATATACATTCATATTACATTATTATATGCAATGCGACCCATTTGTGTCAATATCTAGGTCCCAAATATTAGCGATTTAGCTCCTTTAAGGCTTGGTAACATGAGAGAATACTTTTCAAAATGTCGCCTTAAATACACTAGTAGCTGTCTTCCATAAGTACATGTTTTTCTTTTTGGCTATTTATTGGATAAATAAATACGCAGTATCATGAGGATAAAATCGATAAGACTTTATGAAATCTTTACAATTAACTTACATTCATATAGATAAATGAGAGGATTATTACATACAAACATCCAATTATAATCATTTCTATGTTTATAGTCTCTTAGCAACAAGAAACATCTATTTTCTATATTCATCTTTACTGTATGAATTATCACAGATAACATGTTAAACAAGCTTACTAGTTGCATCAAGCAATTAAATTGATGTTTAAAGTAGCTAAGTCTCCAACTCAATATCATCAAAAATCTTTGAAAACACAAATTATTTGTCAATTCAAATCAACATTGGTCTTGTGGTCTTACAGGGAAAAGATGGGCGTCTGATATCCAATATTCAAGACAAAATAAACATTTTACCATTGGTACACGAATCGTGTACCATAAT